TCGTCTGCTTATTTCAATCTCGAAAGAACAATGTAATCTGATTGGACAGCTAATTTTAGCGATGTCACTGGAACCAGACTCAGACAAAGCTATGGTGGCAAAAGGGCCCAAGGCATACATCATAATAGAATGGAGATATAATACACTTCATACTCAAGGATAGAGAATAATGTTTTGCAAATCTACTACTCACCAATAGCTGTATATATCTATGTCAACATAAAAATATGTTTAAAGCACTAACTTCAACACTGGAATGCAAATAATACAATAATACTAACAAATAGGGCTGTGGTGAATCCCTGAATTACAATTCAGCATGATATTCTCTGCCATGATACCTCGTTACGTGACGATGTTTATAATACAAGATTATACACACGCATATATATATATATACCACTCAAAAGAAGTTAAGGACCACCCAATTTTTTCATATTACTATAGTTAGTCTGTCATGTCATGTCATGTCATGTCATGTCATGTCATGTTAGCCACGGTAATATGATAGAATCAGGTGGTTCTTTATTTCTTTGGAGTATAAGAAGAATATGCTTTCTCTGAATGATGATCAATGAATCATAAATGCCCTATTTCAGGCGCATGCTATTATCAACAGAAGATGCAGCCTTGCGTGTTGACTTGATGGAGGAAAGCCCAAAGTGATGCAGGCCCTAAATGCTTACCACCTAGGTGAAGCTCATGGTATGGTGTGGACAAACCTAGAAACAGCCAGGGCGAACCAGGAATGGAAACCCACTGTTATAGGTCTGCCTTGTGAAGTGAGGCAAATGCTTTGCAACATTTAAAAATCAGAAATCATTCGCTAGAAGTAAACTCAGGTTTAGGCCACAATGTCATTAAAATGAGATCTCCTACTCTGATATGATACCTGTCAGCAGGTCACATCAGGTGAACACTGAGCCAACTTTGACTGCCCAATATAAAACAGGTTGCAGGGGTTCTTGGGTTCTGTTGGCTTTCTAAAATCATTTGGCTTCATTTCTTTACTACCTTGATTCAGATATTTTGATCTTGGCCAAAGAAAAATGTCACTGAATAGACATATACCTTCGATGGTTCACCCGTTCAGGTGGTACTAGATGCAGTCGCGCACAGGAATGACAGGATGTATATATGATATTATAGCTAAAAAACACCTGCAAGTCATCAGAAATGAGCCACTGTAACTTGATAATGCCCTCATATAGCTAATATCACGCCCGTTTTTTGGTGACGTCATAGGATAGGGATAGGTGACGTCATCTAGTTTGTTCTATGACATTTCCATATTTGTAAAAGTAGGTCAGTGACATTCATGTTTATTGCAGTAAATGTTTCAAAACCGATATTGTTGTTTCTTTTTATTTGATAACAAATTCCATCCATTTCAGCTATAATAGCGATAACGCTATTTTTCGGGGCATTATCATTTGCAAAGCCCTCGGTCTTTTCAACTGCCATCCTCCGTCAGGCAGTTAATGGAAGACCTTGGCCTTCTGCAAATGATAATGCCCTGAAAAACAGTGTTACCATTATAATAGTGCAGCTTTATCTTTTGCATTTGGAACTGCTCAATCAGTATTGTTTTTTAGATTTGTTTACATGCTTTGCATATTCGTACCAAGTATTTAGAAACCTTGACACTGACTGCTGTTAAGAACGTTCGCCTCATGTAACACAGGATGTCTTCAGATCATCACGCAGAGAGGTATCGCATCGGAGTAAGAGATCAGATTTAAATGAGACATATTGAGGCCAAAAACTATGAACAATAACGTGAATGTTGTCGAAATCTGAATTATTATTAATACGAGGTGAAATTATTGGAAAGATCTCAGGGAGAAATTCTTTGTATTAAATGATTCTACACTAATTCTTACAAAGCTAGATATACATACACCACAGACATCTAATGTTGATATACTTGATGGTTAATGGTCTTGATCACTGTTTCGTTCCTTTAATAATATCTAAGATTCAAATGACACTGACATATTTGTCCAACAAACATACACAAAATCTAGACTTAATAAAAAAAAATAATATTCACATGCTAGTCTACAAAAATATTATTAAAATTATTCTCGGGGATAAATGTGTTTTTATGATTCATGAAATGGTACAAGATATTTTCGGTTTGAATATTTTATGAAGATCTTTCATCTCAGTTGTGTTCCATACCAAAACATCAACTTAACATAGGAAGAAGCCCAAAGTGATGCAGGTCTTAAGACATTTACCAGTTTTGTGAAACTAGAGGCATTGGTCTGGTAATGAGAGATCAAGGATCATAATTTGGGAAAATCTGAGATCTTAATTATTCAGAAATGTTGTATTTCAGCGATAGAAACTGGCACTAGTCCTACAGTCTTTACAAAACTGCCCAACAGTTAGGGACTTGTGGTCATCAGCTATTTGCTATGTTATCTAAAAATTGTTAGTTTCTATCGCTGTATTTTATCTTTCAGCATTAATCAATGTAGGTACCATGTATTTTTTTCCAATTTCACTGTCTTTGGTCTACCATTTGACTCATCAATTTACAAGTCATCATGATAAGCTGTAACACCCATTCACATTCACTCCCCTTAGATATGAACACAGTGGAAAATGCCCTTGAAGATTCCATTTCTGTTTAAAATAAAATTCTACTCCTGTCCCAATCGCAAAGTAACTAAGAAGAGCAAAACAAAATAGTGACCTTGACTACCCGTTGTCTCAGCTCCATCCTGTTTTGTCCCGAAACAGAATTGATGATACTGATGATAATACTGATTGATGATAATGCTCATGCCAGAATGACAATGATGATAATTATTTCAGCTGAACAACTTGGGTTTTGATGGCACCCAAAACCACATACCCAAACAATGGGATAGAAATTATACTGGAAAGTCTACTAACCCGAACAGTGATAACATATGACATTCCTCAAAACACTGAAATTCAAACTCTGAAGATACCTAGAAAAAAGCCAACAAGATTGGGATAGTTTCTACCTTTCAACAAACCAGACTGCACGCTTGGTTAATTTTTATCTGTCAACAATCTTTGACAACAAGATGGGGGTAATTTCTATCCTTCAACAACCCAGACGAACAAGCTAAGGGTAATTTCTATCTGTCAACAACCCAGACCAGCAAGTTTGGGGTAATTTCTATCTGTCTGTCAAGAACCCTTCAACAGATCTATACAGATCTCATCCTATTTATGGCAAGAGGGTCTGTCCCAATCACAATCCGCATTGACATCATTAGCGCTCATGTCCCCAGATCAGAATTCCAACTTTTCACTGGATAGAAAATGTGTCAGGTTAATCCCTACTTGATCAGCCTCAGACACTTAAAATCAAAAACATCTCTTCAGCATTTAAGGTATGGAAGATCACCCACCCATCATCCAACTATTATGACAAACAAACAAAATGATGAGGAATGGTAGATGGCAGTTTGCTCTCTTACTATAAAACAGCTGAATCTTGTTGCAGCTTTGTGATTCCAGGCATACATTAAGTATACTACTCAAAAGAAGTTAAGGACCACCCAATTCATCCATAGTCCATTCTGCAGAAGACTCAGTAGCTGAGTGTGTTTGCTGGCATTTAGATGCCTTACTCTGAGACTCCACACAAAAGAAGTACTAGAATTTGTGCTTTACTAAGCCTAGTTTGTGCCATTTGTCCTGGTATAGGTAGACATAATTTGAATTTGACAACCCCTGAAATACTAAAATTTCAAGCAACATTTGTTGTGTCATAAGGACATGAGACAAAGTGTATGATTCTATCCCTCACTAAACAATGATGGTAACAGTGATGACATCAACAGCACTTGGGGGAAATGTGCGATAAGAGCTGTGCGTTGTCAGTCTTTTCAACATTCTGCAGAAAACAGTTAAAACTATAGAAAAACTTTATAGAAAACTAGACTAGAGCTACAGTTCACTTCCACCCCAGCTTAAGATATGTTCCAAGTTTAGGGCAGAGTTTCATTGTCATCATTATCTTAGTCTACTGAGAATACAACACGTTCATGAAAAAATAGTTGAAGATTAAGTGTAGAAAAATACATGGCAATTTTACATTTACTTTTCAAATCAGGTCATCACACAGAGAAAATAACAAGTCAATAAACAATTCAATTCAATAAAAATAGTTTTCATTTGAATGACAGCAGCATTTTTCAAATTAGATGTTTTGACAGGGCTGTAGACAATATATACAGGTAGTTCTAAGATAAAGGAACACCTGCTTATAATACTGGGCTTTTGTTACAGGTTTCATTCCTACATATATCCCTGTATAGGTCATTATAAACTAATTACCGTATTCAACGTAATAAGCGCCCTGGGCGCTCTCAAAATTAGAAATAGGGGGCTCTTATTAGAATATTATTTTGGTGGAAAAAAAAAAACAGAGTTAAAAGATAAATTTCGTGGTTTATGGTGACAGCCTGAAATGCTAATGTACGACAGATATATTTTTCCAGAATTTAATCGCTCATAACTAAGGGTGCTTATAACACACGAGTGTGTATTATACACGAATAAATAAGTCTTGTGTATATTGATCAATCGGAAGGGGTGCTAATTGGGATTGTTCACTCGCCAATATATCAGCAAATATTGCCGTGGGCGCTTATTAGAGCGGGGCGCTTATTACGTCAAATACGGTATTAGATTTCTGTCCCCCATCTTACTACCGGTAACCAAACACTCCTACAGATTAAGAACATTCTGTGTGTTCTCTTGTTTCATTACTTGACTATACACCCATATACACAATCCTAAACATCTATGCTTCATGTAATTCACATGTGTTGGTGTTTAATGTAACAGCTGCCTTGATCAGTTTGTTTTAATAAAATAAAAATACCATATTCGACGTAATAAGCGACCCGCTCTAATAAACGTCCACAGCGATATTTTCAAATACATTTGCAAGAGAACAATCCCAATTAGCACCCCTTCCGATTGATCAATGTACACAAGACTTAAATTTATTCGTGTATAATACACACTCGATCATGTGTTATATGCACCCTTAATTATTGGCAATTAAATTCTGGAAAAATATATCTGTCGTATATAAACATTTCTGGCTGTCAGCATATACCACGAAATTAACCATCTTTCAACTCTGTTTTTTTTCACCAAAATAATATTCCAATAAGAGCCCTCTAGTTCTAATTTTGAGAGCGCCCTGGGCTCTTATTATGTAGAATACAGTATTTTTTTAAATTGCCTCCCACCTCAATTTTTTTTTAAATGTGTATGAAAATCTAATAGTTAATTCATAATGACCTTATAATGTAGAGATAGTTATTAAAACATTACGTCATAGGATATACAGAGGAAACATCCATCAGAAGTTGATAGTGTATGAAATTTAGAACAGGGCTACAGATATAGCAGTATACATAGCAATGGCTGAAGCGTGATGTAGCCATGGTGACAACTTCAAATATATTCTGGTTAAACACAAGGTCAAGCAGTTGGAAGTGTTCAGAACATCTCACATGGGCAGAAACATCAACACAAAACACCATACATACGAATCAATTCAGTTTTGAATATGTAAAATATCAATTAAGATTTTCATGCCCTATTTCTCAATATTGCATGAGCGAACACTGGTATCCCATTTACTCTTGCCCTTATTACTGACCCTGTAGATGACAACACAAAAGCATATTCATTATGTAATCCAGGGTCAGATATGACAAATCGGTAAAATTCTATCCACGAAGTGATAATCTTCTTAACAAAGGACAAGGTACAAAAAGGGACTTTTGGGACCACAAGATCTGCAAAATTTACGAAATGAGCAAAATCTTAAGAAATTGTTAAAAAAAGTTACCAGATGTGTTCGTATGAAAGAGAATGATACAGTGTTCATTTCAAGACTCTCATTATTTCACTTATTATGGGAAAGGCCAAAAAAATTGAAAAGTTGGACTTTGTAGATTTTCAGAATCTGTTTCTAATATTTGAACATGAACAAGAGTTTGACCCGAGCTGATTTCTCCAATGTAAATAAATACAATGTTATCGTGGGACAAAAACATCCATCTTTGGTCACAGACTTATAGTCATATTGTCTACAGAAGTTCCGAAAATCAGCCTTTTTGACTAATTTTAGCCTTTCTTAACATGACCATAAACACGAAGACTGCAATTTGCAAGTGTTAGAAAGAAAGGATAGTTTGCATAAATTTCAACATGTCTGATAATCTTCATTCCAATATTTCAAATTTTCCATAACTTTTCAAATGGCCATATCCAGTGGAATGAAAAGGCCCCTATCCTATCTCATCCATTGTCTGATAAAAAGTGCAGGCAGCAATGTATTCATAAAAACAACAGGGAGGTTTATCCACCCATCAGTCCATATATGGTTGTCATAACCTTGGTAACATAAAGTGATTGTCTATCTCCAAGTTACCATTCTCTACCAGTAACACTTCAGAGTCTTGTTAAACAGAAAATGGTTAAAGAACTATCAGATACACTGGCATGGTCAATTGTTTTAGTATACTCATTGTGAAAACATACTTCTTCAAATAATCTGGATTTGACGTAACTGTGTCACAAACCTGCTGTCCTACAGTTTGCAACAGTTTATCAATAACATAATTAAAACATACAAATGAATAAGTGGAATAAAAATCAATTTGTTTTTTACCTGTTGAGTTCAGAACACAATTAGTCAAATCTAAAAATATACCAAATTCTGTTGAGCAATTTCCAGTCAAATCATTGTAATCTGTAATCATATATCAATCATATTAACAGCTAAACATGGTAGGTTACACAGTTACTTTACATACACAATGGAGATTTAAGAAACTGAAGCAATATTCTTCATATAATTGTTAGGACAGCACTTTATATAGTGTTTCACTTAAGCCCATGTCCAAAACTATAATACTATAGGCCAAATTATATAAGATTATATTCTCTCCATCCTAACCAGTTATTTTGTACATGTCGTGTTAATGGCAGAAAATTTCTGCTGGAGTAGAGGCCTTTCTTTCAAGGGAAGTAACTCTTAATTCTCAATTTGGGAAGGAAAAGAGAAAATGCAATAACAAGAGGAGAAACACAAACATACAAAACAAGGCTCTTTAATAACTGATGGTGAACCATGTTTTCACTTGATAACCAGTCTTATTAACACTGTTATAATCTGTGTTCAAAAGGGAAAGATAACTCTCATTTCAACATCTGCAGGCGGAGTCACCTAATTACTACTTGTGTGACTGACAGCTGTTCAGAGCAACCATGGTACAAACACCATTGCTTTAACGTCAAAACACTTGGGATGTCTCGTTAAAAATATTTTCTACAACACTTTCAGCAATATTCAGTTACATCACGTCTGGGGTAAAAAACATCCTGAATTATACTGGATTCAAACCAAGCCATATAGAATGAACGCACTCACTGCTGGACTACAGAACCTGCTATCAGGTAGCTGCAGTTGCAATATGAGATAAGACTAGTCGTCTCAGGTTATTTAACACCCTACAAGTCCACTGGCCATAGGTTATAGATCTATACTCTACCATAAGACTGAACAATCCTTACAGATCGACAAGACACCTCCAGCCTAAAGCTGTGAAACATTTAGATCAGTCACTGTTAGTTACAATTGTTTGGAAAAAAACCAACCACTTCTAATGTTTAGAAAAGAATCTTCAGAAGAAACAAACCAATTATGGACCTCCTGTCCTGTCCTTGCCACAGTTAAGTAGGTTTGTAGTACTAATATCTTTGCAGGATGTCACACTTTCTTCACGATGAGCATGCTGATTTCCATCCAAGTTATTATTCCTAAACCTGAAACTGATTTCGACCTCTGTGGAGAGTCATCAGAGTACCAGGTGAAGGGTGCTGACACTTGATGTAATGCTGTTCGGTGCAAGGACTTCACGTTGTGTCTATTCTGATCATTCGCAGTTTGAAGTTGTCAGCAAGAACACAGGCTGCCTCGTTGGATCCGCCGCAGTAGCGAGATGAAGAGAACACAGTCATCAGACGTCCCTGTTGCTGCACCTGGAGAAGCAGAACTATGTGGTTAGGTTAGCCCCAGGTTTTGTTTTATACTCGTACACTTTGAGAATGGATGTTAATAATTTATATTAAGAGTACTGTGGGACAAAATAGTATATCATTCAATTTATCAAAATCATGAGATGGCATGCACAAATTTGCTGTTTTAATTGCCCTGCTCAAATGAGCAACCCCGTTTAGATTGGGAAGTCCAAGTTCACTCAGTGGTCCTATGTTGCAACCTTCGATGAAAGCGTCCTCAGATCTTAATTGGAGTAAAACAGGCCTCAAAGTTTAATATTTCACCATGTAGCCATATGGCTACAAATACTTCTTCTAGGTAGCCACTGGTAAAATCAAGAAGTCAAGCCAATATCATAGGTAGCAAAAAGGATTTGAAATTATATTTTACAAGCATTTTAATCAAATTCCTATAATAATATGTACAAGTTATGGCATTGGTATTAGAATCATATATTTACAATGCAGACTTCGTTGGCCAGTCTTTGTTTAAGTTTCTTTTCACAGCAACCAGATGTGATTTATTTTCGAATGTCACTGGCATGGACGTTTTTTTCCATCTGCATCCATCGACTCATCATAACTGTTTTCACTTACAACTTTCAGTGTATGATCGTTTTTGGCAGTGCAGAGATGTAGAAGTTGGTTGGTTGGTTAGTTTGTTGTTTTACGCTGCACTCAGCAATATTTCAGCTATATGACGGAGGTCTGTAAATAATCGAGTCTGGACCAGACAATCCAGTGATTAATATCATGAGCATCGATCCACGCAATTGGGATCAATGACATGCATCAACCAAGTCAGCGAGCCAGACCATCCGATCCCGTTAGTCGCCTTTTACGACAAGCATAGTCACCTTTTACGGCAAGCATGGGTTGCTGAAGACCTATTCTACCCCGGAATCTTCACGAATCAAGATGTAGAAGTACTTTGCCATGATGTGGTCATGTAAAATGGAACGGTCACAAGTTCGTAAACTCAATGCACTGCACACAGTAAAACTAGTTAGTGTAACCAAATCCTCACAACACTGCAAGGAGCTATCGAAACGTTCCCTGACACAGTGCAGTTATACAATCGAGGTAACGTCATAGCAATTGCCAATCAAGTTATTAATTTCTGTATCTACAAATGTGAAGTAATAACATTCAGTCCTCACAAGATATTTTTTCAAGGTAGTCGTTTGGTGACTTCTGATTCTTTAATGGCGGACAAAGCCCCACTGATGACCATTTTAGTCACAACTTTAAGGAATGTAAATGATGTGATCATAATGAGATTGTGAACGGGTCCAAGGTATTGATACTAATAATCATACGGAGATATTATACCCTGGATAATGGAGGATGTCAACTTACCTGAAATCCTGTTTCTTGCACCTCATGAGCTCGGATCACGTGAGACAGGCCATTACGATCCAGGAAGGAGAAGAGAGCATCACAGCTGAAGAAGTGCGCTGTGCCTCGCCGCGAGTTGAACACAAACCCATTGTTCTCAGTCAGGTCCTGCATCACATCAGGGGTCACCAGGTCAAGGCTGAAACAAAGTGTGCCTGATCATCAACATCACTGGAATGTATGTGCACAGGCCTATAATATATTACCTAGGGTGATTACCATGAGTATATCACACTATGGCATGATTATCATAGGAGGGTTGTATGTATACAGGGCTATAATATATTACCTAGTCTGATTACCATGAGTATATCACACTAAAGCATGATTATCATGGGAGGGGTGTACGTATACAGGGCTATAATATATTACCTAGGGTGATTACCATTACTATATCACACTATAGTATGTTTATCATGGGAGGGGTGTACGTATACAGGGCTATAATATATCACCTAGGGTGATTACCATTACTATATCACACTATAGTATGATTATCATGGGAGGGGTGTACGTATACAGGGCTATAATATATTACCTAGGGTGATTACCATGAGTATATCACACTATAGTATGATTATCATGGGAGGGGTGTACGTATACAGGGCTATAATATATTACCTAGGGTGATTACCATGAGTATATCACACTATAGCATGATTATCATGGGAGGGGTGTATGTATACAGGGCTATAATACATTACCTAGTCTGATTACCATGAATATATCACACTATAGCATGATTATCATGGGAGGGGTGTACGTATACAGGGCTATAATATATTACCTAGGGTGATTATCATGGGAGGGGTGTACGTATACAGGGCTATAATATATTAGCTAGGGCGATCATCATGAGTAGATCACACTATAGCATGATTATCATGTATGTATTATCATGTATGTATACAGGGCTATAATATATCACCTAGGGTGATTACTATGCTTATTTTATAGGACAATTACCATAACTGTATTATAGGATAATTACCATGATTATATTATAGGATTATTACCATGTTATAGTATAGGATGATTACCATGAATATATTATAGGATGATTACCATGCTTATTTTATATGACAATTACCATGGCTGTATTATAGGATAATTACCATGATTATATTATAGGATGATTACCATGCTTATTTTATATGACAATTACCATGGCTGTATTATAGGATAATTACCATGATTATATTATAGGATGATTACCATGATTGTAGTAAAGGATGATTACCATGATTATATTATAGGATGATTACCATGCTCATTTTATAGAACAATTACCATGGCTGTATTATAGGATAATTACCATGATTATATTATAGGATGATTACCATGATTATAGTATAGGAAGATTAACATGATTATGTTATAGGATGATTCCCATGCTTATTTTATAGGACAATTACCATGACTGTATTATAGGATAATTACCATAATTATTTTATTGAATGATTACCATGATTATATTATAGGATAATTACCATGATTATATCATAGGATGATTACCATGATTATTTTAATGGATGATTACCATGCTTATTTTATAGGACAATTACCATGATTATTTTATAGGATAATTACCATGACTGTATTATAGGATAATTAACATGATTATATTACAGGATGATTACCATGATTATAGTTTAGGATGATTACCATGATTTTATTATAGGATGATTCTCATGCTTATTTTATAGGACAATTAACATGACTGTATTATAGGATAATTACCATGATTATATTATAGGATGATTACCATGATTATAGTTTAGGATGATTACCATGATTATATTATAGGATGATTACCATGCTTATTTTATAGGACAATTACCATGATTTTATTATAGGATGATTACCATGATTATATTATAGGATGATTACCATGATAATATTATAGCATAACCCTATTTGAAGACCACCATGATTATTCTTCAGGATGTTTCCCATGATTATCTTATAGCATGGTCATTACTTGGATTACCTTTGCCAGTTTTACTTTACACAACATAAATATTATTTGATGGTTATGGTTAGAGAATGATTGCAACAATTACTTCACAGGAGTCTGTTAACATGACATAATTAAGCTTCATACCCAAACAGAATAATGTTAGTTACTAAACTGCTTTGGGCCATATACCATCACACACAACTTTGTAGGATGACTATCTTGGCAATGGTTACCCATTTACCTGATGGGATCACTCCACAGTATCTCCCAGGCCATGGGGCTCTCTGTCTCGGGGTCCGGAAGGGGCACGGGGATCTTGTTGATGGCCTCTATACTGCCATTGTCGTGCTCAGTGCTGGGGATGCCACCATGGACACAGAACACCTGCAACATCCAGTGGACACAAACGTCAATGAGAAGTTTCATAAAATTGATACCGGTATACTGCATATTTCAAAATTATGCATATTTTCATCTTGCTGGCAAAGTTTAATTCCGAATTGAAATTAGGAAATTCTGAAATTAGCAACTCATTTCTGTGACTGAAAAAGCAAAACTGTAAGCGACCAGATTCCTATATATAATGCGTCTATTATTATGCATGCATTGTCACCATGGCAACATCCAACAACATGGAGAACAACAGTTGTCAAAATTGTGCAAGGAAAGTCTTTATTTTGGGAGCTTGGCTCCTGAGAGGTTCTCGGGCTTCATTCCTGCTCCACACTGAAGCACATATAACATGTGTGGCGTCTCCTTGGGCAAGGGTCTTTGTTGAAATCTTCCTCTGTTCACCCAGCAGTGAATGGGTATCCAGTAGGATGAGATGGCAGTGTGGTTGGTAACCTTCTAGCGCCTAACAGGCAGCTTGGGTTGTATACTCCCCAGGGAGCTGAGAATAATTCTTGAGTGCACAGTGATCCAGTGACTGGGGTAGTAATAGCGCTTTGAGCATGCCCCTGATTGGTGTGGATATATGCGCAATACAAATAGCCTATTATTATTATTATTATTATTATTATTATTATTATTATTTAGTATATGGATTAATCTTATTCAGGGTCATAACAAATCACAGATGATATAATGAATGCAATATATTATCATGATTATGTTACATATCACAATACATGTGTCATTATTGCAATACGAAATTCAGGCCAATATCCATCTCTATGCATTACCTTGTCATCAATGGTAGCGGCAATGGGCATACAATCAAAGCACTCATTAACAGCATCCCAAATTTGCTGCCCTACACTGTCACCAAACTTGCTCAGACATTCCCTGCAAACAGAGAGTCAGATAGTCAATAAGGGCATGTTACAATACTGTCATCAAATTGATAATGTCCTGTAAAAGATTCTGTAAATATAAAAGTTATAGAAAACTAAAAAAAATTGTGAAATGCAGAGTTATATTTTAAAACTTCTCCTTTATTATTAAATTATGCAGAAGAAGTGAACCCTGATCACTATGACCTTTCCCAATTAATAGATCATACACATATGGTGTGAAGTCTGCAACTTCAGCCCTGAGTCAAGCAAAATTGTTTTAGGTCTGGTAAGGTCAACTAAATATAGTCCACATACCAGCTCTATGATCTACTAGAAATGATGCCAAGAGAATTTCGAGATACAGTGGTCCCTCGCTACAACGCTACCAATGGGGTCCAAATAATTGGTGGGCGTTATAGACGATGAGCCGTTTAACTGAGGCCGAGGGGGGGGAGCGCACTCGGCCAATCTCACGATCTTCGCCTTGTCTTGCAGATTGCAATGATACAAGTTGTTTACCGTTCATAGTGTAAAAATATATATCCATTATGTTTTCGCCGTTTGTTATTATTTAAAAGCCTTAACTGTCACATTCAATGTGAATGTCGTCTACTTACATGAAAATATCGATCGATAATGGTAGTAACAGACGCTATGAGTGAAGAGCCAATCACAATTCATTACGCAAGTACAGAGTGATTCAGTGGCATTGATTGGTCATGTTGCTTAAAATACAGAAAATAAAGTTTTGACCAGCACTACGCGCATTCATACACATTCATGCAAATATAGATACACATTCAAGCCAGATTAATTGGTTTGATACAGTTACTTGATCCGAATCAAAAGGAATGACCGCCGTGTTGTGACAGCAACTTTTACAAACCTGTAGAGGTTATGAATTCTCTGATGAAATCCTCCTTGGGGCACTTATTGCATTTTCCTTGCTCAAGAAAATCTATATGACATAGTTGTAACCATTTTCCTTAATAAAAAATGTTACCACACAAAAAACTTCGTTTTTGTATGATATACGACCACCCTTACGGGGCCTCACCCCCAACGGCGCCTCACGCCAGGGGGAGCAACTCTCACCCAAATCACTTTCCATATGTCAAATGCTGACGGAATGTGGGGAGGTGGGTGGCCGTGCCCCAAGGAGGATTTCATCAGAGAATTCATAACCTCTACAGGTTTGTAAAATTCTCTTTCTGATTAAATCCTCCTTGGGGCACTTATTGCATCAAGACAGACTCCCAAAGATAATCTAGGAAGTGGCATCCGTCAGCAACAGGCGTAAATAAATACATCGTATTTGATTATTCAACAGAATAAAATATTGAGTTCAATAAATGGAACCAACCTTATCGTGAGGCACCACCGTCGAAAGGCGGGGGCTAGAGACAGGGCGTGGTCGACCATATATTATGATAAAGCCTGTTTTTGCGGCTTGTCATAAGTTGAGAACTCGAAACACCTCCCACCCCCCCACACTTTTTTGAACAAGTGATATAAGGGCGTAGATCACGAGAGACCATAACCAGCGCTGAGCTAGGCCAGAGGGTCCCCGAGGATCGAAGGAGTGCGTGCGCAAAATACGAGTATTATCGAGTAGTAAGGACTGATATTTATCGACCGCAGAAGATAAAATCCGGACCATTACTGAGCAGTATAACCGGAAGACTGTCTAAAATCTCGAATGCTCAATCAGCTAGAGATTAGAACTTTGCCCAGTTCGGAGAACTGACTGACCAAACCGAGTACGCTCGCTTGAGTGTTTGTCGAGTTGGTAAGGTTTGATGAATCGTGCTCGGCTGGCTCCAAATAGCCGCGGAGCAGATCTGCTCAATGGGCAGAGCCGCGGCGTACGCTTTTGACGCAGCCACTGCTCTAACCTAATGAGCCTTCAACCTGGTAGGGGGGTCCCTGCCTGTAAGCGTATACGCTGTACAAATGTTTGAAACTATCCACCTCGAGATAGATTGTTTACTCGCAGGTGAGCCAACCTTCCTACCGCAGTAACAGCAAAATAGTTGGTTATCCTTACGGACACCCATATTTCTGCTGATATAGGCCTTGAGAGTCGTGCGGACATCCAAGACATGAGCATGTCTTGCAGTGGTCCCCGACGAGGAAGGCTGTGAAAGAGCGGGTAGCTCAATAGGAGCCGTTCACGTGGAATCGTGTGCGACCCTAGGACGGTAATAGTCCGGTAGACGAAAACTGACTGTCCCGGTGATATTTATCGACCCCATGGAAGACAGTTATTTTGGGATCGGCTGACATAACACGAATGTCGCCTACCCGTCTGCCGGACGTTACCACCACAAGGAACGCCGTCTCCCAGCTCAACAGCTGAAGAGAGAGAGACGACAGATCCCGAAAGGAAGGACCGGACAGCCAATCTAGAATGATTGACAAGTCCCAAGGGGGACTGATCCGCCGGACTGGCGGTCGGATCCTGTCCACACCTGCTAAAAAGCGCTGCACTAATGGGTGTGCACCCAGAAGTGCCCCGTCGACAGGGACGTGAAAAGCTGCGATAGCTGTAGAGTACCCTCGGACTGTTGATGCGGCCAGGCCGTCATCTAGTCGCGACTGGAGAAACTCAAGCACGGATACGAGATCTGCAGAAAAAAGATCTGCAATCCCTCTATCGACACACCTGGGCGCATAGCAGGCCTATCTATCGTACTGAACGTTTGTCGAATCCCTCCGCGAAGCCAGTATTGTGTCTGCAACTCGTGCAGGAATACCGCTCTTCTGGAGGCGATTCCTGACAGTGGCCAAGCCACCCATTGAATCCTGAGATTCGGGTGGAGGGCCCCGTTCTGGGATAGGAGGTCCGGTCGTAAAGGTAATATAACAGGAGGCTGAGCCAGAAACCTGAGTATTACTGGAAACCCACTCTGCGCCGACTAAAGAGGTGCCAGGAGCACAATTAGTCGCGCAGGCTGAGTGCCTAGCTGAGACAGGACCTTGGAAATCAGAGGTACTGGGGAGAATGCCCACAGAACTGTCCGTCCAATCTAGCTGAAAGGCGTCCGGTGCCACCGACCTCGGGTCGTGGACTCGGGAGCAGAACGTTGGTGTCTGGTTATTTAACCCAGACGCAAACAGATCCACCTGTAACGACCTGTATAACAGGGAGAAAATCCCGAATATCCCCGGGTCGAGCCTCCACTCGTGAGGAGCGAGGATCCGGCAAGACAGAGCGTCCGCACGGACGTTGTCCACCCCCGGGAGATAAACAGGTAGCACCCTGATATCGTGAGAGTCGCACTATAGTAGGAACTGCCACGTCTTTCGTCGAAGCGACGGAGACGCCGTTCCCCCCTGCTTCCGGATGTAAGTCATCGCCGTTTGGTTGTCCATCTCTAGACGAACCACTTGGCCACGAAGCAGATCCGGGAAGCGTTGGAACACCAACCTGACCGCTCTCAGTTCTAGCACATTGATATGCAGTTTGATCTCCTGCTGGGACCATAGTCCCGAGGCAGTGTGATCATTCAGAACGCCTCCCTAGCCGGAGAGTGACGCGTCTGTTTGAACTGTGAGAGACGGAACGGGAGTGATTCCCGACCTCGGTCCACCACTGGAGGTGTGTAATGAGCCACTACGGAGTCTCGAGCACAGTCTCGAGATCTTCCGAGTTCGCCCAAAGTCGACGGAGTGCTTGTTGAATGGGACTCATTCTCAAGCGCGCCCGCCAGACCAAATCCACTGTCGCCGCCATGTTGTCCAGTAACTGGAGCCATGTACGAGCAGTGTGACTTGCGCTTAAGGGACTTGATATCTTGTGACAGAGATACACGTCCTCTCACCGTGTTGAAATTAGCCACTAGGAAGACTAGATTCTGAGTGGGGCTCAGATCTGACTTCTTGAGATTGACCATCCACCCTAGAGTGATCAGAATATCTATCACTTGTTGTGTAGCTATCTGACTCAGGGATTGCAATAGAGCTCTTAGTAACCTAGTCGTCGAGGTACGGATGGCAGAACCGACCTTTTGACCTGGCCACTTGGGCGGGAATCAACATCAGCTTGGTGAACACCCTCGGGGCCGTGGAGATCCCGAATGGTAGAACCCTGAACTGATAACACCTCCCGTCGAAAGAAAACCTCAGGTATTTCTTGAACTCTGGATGTATTGGTATGTGGAGATTGGCTAACGTCAATAGACTTAAAATACGCCTTTCTCCTGTCTCGACAGTTGAGATCACTGTTTGGTGACTAGGAAACAAGTCGAGTAGAAGCCCTCGCTTTCCTGTCCCTCGGGACCCGGTTCGATCGCAGCTTTCATAAGAAGTGCGTCGACCTCGGCACGGAGGAATTCCGCCTTCTCTCGGGTAGCAGGCACCGGTGTGTGCTTTATCCCGGAAAAGTGGAGGAGCGGATGAGTTTTCCCGATAACTTGCGACTATGGGTTCACCCGGGGCTCTTCGGGCGCTAATGGGAACCCATCGTTCCCAGCCCCGCGAAAAAGCTGTTGGCCTCGACCAGCTGCCTTGCCCCGGCCCGTGCCTCTCTTGCTCCTCACGGCGCCCTTATACCTGAAGGAAGCGGCGGCTTCCAAGCAGGTGTGGACGTCTGACCCGTGCGTTAGCGTAGGAGGGGACAATTGGAGAGGCCCGCTTACGCGGTTTTAACGCTTGGTACCTCCAACAAGGCCTTATGAGTCTTTGATGGAAGTATACAATTGAGCAGCCTCTCGGACCGCCTGCTGAGCCCCAGGGAAGAGGGTGGCACCCTCTTATACGGCAAAGCAAGTAGGTCTTGGCGTGTGTAAGTCGAGTATTTAGATACCGACATCCACCGCCTGCGCATGCACATAACAGCGCACATCATCTGCGATGCACAGCTACGAATAGCGTCCCGCGCAAGATAATGTTAGTTGCGCGGCCAACTCCGAAGAGTCGGCCGGCCCCTCTCCCGCTAACTCCCTCTGTACAGCCGACAGATACGCGGAGTGTACGGACACACGGAGCTGTTGGCATGCATTATGATATTGCTCCTCGAAGCATATGTAAGCAGCCTTCAACTCCGCACCGCACACGGGAAAGGGGGGGCAACCGCCGGCCCTGCTTGACCTTAGTCAAGTTGGATGTCTCCGACTCTGGCATGGGCGCAGCAACCTGAGGCAGTACATGGACAATCCTGTCCCGCACGTGTCTCTGCACCCGGCCCGAGGCCGAGTCCCGGTGCCGAGGTGCCGGAGGTTCAAGGGAACCCACCTGGCACTGGGCTAGGTATCCACTAGTGAAAGCCTTGGCCTCGGAAGAGGCGTCTGGCTCCGCTAGGGTAAATTGTGGGTCGGTAGTGCACGGGCCGGTGCCCGCCACCACTACGCTGGGGAGCGACCTCGAGCCGGAGCCGAAGCTCGGTCTCGGATCGTCCCCGAGACAAAGGGAACCAACCTGGCTCCGGGCTAGGTATCCACTAGTGGACGCCTCGGCCTCGGAAGAGGCGTCTGGCTCCGCTAGGGAAAATTGTGCGTCGGTAGTGCACGGGCCGGTGCCCGCCACCACTACGCTGGGGAGCGACCTCGAGCCGGAGCCGAAGCTCGGTCTCGGATCGTCCCCGAGACAAAGGGAACCAACCTGGCTCCGGGCTAGGTATCCACTAGTGGACGCCTCGGCCTCGGAAGAGGCGTCTGGCTCCGCTAGGGAAAATTGTGCGTCGGTAGTGCACGGGCCGGTGCCCGCCACCACTACGCTGGGGAGCGACCTCGAGCCGGAGCCGAAGCTCGGTCTCGGATCGTCCCCGATACCAAGGGAACCCCCCTGGCTCCGGGCTACGAATCCACTAGTGAAAGCCTCGGCCTCGGAAGAGGCGTCTGGCTCCGCTAGGGAAAAATTGTGCGTCGGTAGTGCACGGGCCGGCGCCCGCCACCCCTCCGCTGGGGAGCGACCTCGAGCCGGCGCCGAAGCCCGGTCTGAGATCGTCCCCGAGACCAAGTTGCCTGCCTCGGCCGACGCCGGGCATATCACAAGGTCTCGAAGCCGCGTCCGGCGCCGACAACGGGGAAGGCTCGGTCCGCATCTCCTCTCGGAGCTGAGACTTTACCTCCTCCATCATCGACGCCATCTGCGACTTAAGTAACGCAGAAAAGTCTGCCAAAGACAGTGCAGGAGAGGGTGCAGTGCTTACTACGGGGACCCTCGAGCCTTCTCCCCCGGCCCCCGGAGAGGGAGCGGGGGAGACAATCTCGGCAGCTTTTTTACCCTTTTTAGATGGGGAGGGGGGGATGTCTTAGTAGATCTGATATCTACCCCCGCCTTTAATAGACCTCTTTAAAGTGGAACAAGTCAACTTGTCTCTTTTGGGGGCCCCGGGGGGTAAAGGCAATGTCCTCCGCCAGACATATTCGGCAGCGTTCGTGCCTGTCTTAGAACAACCCGTACACAGTTTGAAGGTCTTGTAAACAAGACCGTAATTTCTGAGGTGGGCGGGAAGGGTATCAACGTGTATCAGTGCGATATAAAGATCGGAAAGAAACGTGCATAAATTGTGAAACTAGAAGCAAAGGCGTAATGTAGAATGCGATTTGTAACGCGATACTAATAGCCAATGTGTAGTATAATTATAACACCAAAGGGGCGTGTTACGCGCTAAGGTGTAAAAACCCGTAAAAAAGGTAAGTGTAGTTTATGAATTAACACACCACCTTGGGTTTTGTAAAGGAAAAAATTGTAGACCAATGCTGTATGATATAACAAAACCCCAAGCCGTTTCTTAATGGCCTTGGTGTTACATGTATCAGCCCGTGGAACTACAATATGGACGCCATTACGGCCATTTGAATTCAAAGGTACCGTGCACGTGGCGTATTATTACAACTCTATAACTTCACAATGCGAGGTATTACGCCTTTGCAAAGAAAGAAATGTACCATACATACAGTTTGGTCAGCCATGGTTCTTGTCGAACGATAGATTTCTCTTATTTTTGTCTTGTGTGAAAAATCAACACGTCTGTCTCTTACAGATGACATAAGGAAAGTGATTTGGGTGAGAGTTGCTCCCCCTGGCGTGAGGCGCCGTTGGGGGTGAGGCCCCGTAAGGGTGGTCGTATATCATACAAAAACGAAGTTTTTTGTGTGGTAACATTTTTTATTAAGGAAAATGGTTACAACTATGTCATATAGATTTTCTTGAGCAAGGAAAATGCAATAAGTGCCCCAAGGAGGATTTAATCAGAAAGAGAATACATGTGAGTTGACAGTGTCGCCTCAAATTGGATTGCCCACTAATTAAGAAAATAAACTTCGCTTGTGGTTCTCTTTTATTGCATGCATGCTCTTCTAAGATCAAAGGATGTATAGTGTGAAAAGTTAACTAGTAGAACAATCATATTTCCGGGACTTGCCGCTGATGTTTTCAAACAGATTATTAGAACTCCATTCAACGATAAACGGTTGATTATGCAATGAGAAGCGTTATGTGCAAATGAACAACGAACAACAATACAATCACGGCTGTGTAAAATTCTCAGTATTATAAGTGTACATAAATTTTGGGAGCCATGCGATACCGCACGTAGTAACCGAGGTAGCGCTTTATCGAAGTGCCCAATAGCGAGGGATCACTGTAGCAGACTACGTTCTTGGCACAGCCTGGTAATGTCTGACGAACATATAAGTATGTCACTGTCAATCAGTTCCTAACACTAAGCCACTTACGTTTTGAAATGGAACATTTCTTGGACACTTCGGAGTTCATGGTTGCCTCTCAGCAGGAAGAACTTGTTTGGGGAGAGCAGCTTCTGGGCTAGGAGGTAGGACACGACCTGTAAACATGATCACATTCGTTAACAGCAAGCCCTGGGGAGAGCAGCTTCTGGGCCAGGAGGTAGGACACGACCTGTAAACATGATCACATTCGTTAACAGCAAGCCCTGGGGAGAGCAGCTTCTGGGCCAGGAGGTAGGACACGACCTGTAAACATGATCACATTCATTAACAGCAAGCCCTGGAGAGGAGGTAGGACACGACATGCAGACATGATCACATTCGTTAACAGCAAGCCCTGGGGAGAGCAGCTTCTGGGCCAGGAGGTAGGACACGACCTGTAAACATGATCACATTCGTTAACAGCAAGCCCTGGGGAGAGCAGCTTCTGGACCAGGAGGTAGGACACGACCTGTAAACATGATCACATTCGTTAACAGCAAGCCCTGGGGAGAGCAGCTTCTGGGCCAGGAGGTAGGACACGACCTGTAAACATGATCACATTCTATAACAGCAAGCCCTGGGGAGAGCAGCTTCTGGACCAGGAGGTAGGACACGATCTGTAGACAGGATCACATTCTTACAGCAAGACCAGGGTTTCTTATTATGTGGTTATTAGATCCAATGACAAAAGTTGATAAATGTGGAAATAATCTTGAACACAGTAGATAATCCTACTGTAATATTTTCAAATATTCGGCCACAGCTCAGTATTCAGAGTTTACCTAGTATCTGACAATGCCAACCAATTCACATTGAAAGAAAGTTTTCTTATAAAAATTTCTTTTTGCATTTATATGCAGTTACTCAATTCAGATTTGATACGTCTGATTGATTACAGGATATAAGGAGTTGAGTGTTGACGAGCTCACCTCAATGCCACACTCGCCCCTGTCGACGTAGTCCCCGAGGAACAGGAAGGAGGCTGGAGTGAGGAGAGGACCCATCCTCCACAACGCCTTCTCAAAACTCACCAGGTCTCGGAAGTTGCCATGGATATCACCTTCACCAGAAATACAACGTCATGTATTACTCAGACATCACTATCACAAACACTCAATATTTTCTAAGTGGACATTGCTATCATACAAAGAAATGTTCTCTTTTAAGTGATTCATCATCATAAACACAATGTCATTTATTATCTAGGGATCACAGGTGGCCCTGTCGTCTAAGGAGTCACAATTTGCTGTGCACAGCTGTGTCCCTTGGGCATGCCAGAACCTTTTGATAGTGGGTTCGAACCCCGGTTTGCCCTGGTTATGTGGGTAGGGTTTTCCATCACCATACCTGTTGTGATAGTGTTACGCCACTTTAAGCAATATTCAAGCAATATCACAGATGGGGGATGCCAGAAATGGACTTTAAACATTGATCCCATGTGGGGGAAAAATCGAAACCCGGTCCGTTGGCCATCAAATGCTTTAACCACTGGGCTACCCCCCCACCGCCCCTTCACCAAAGTGGTAGACATCTAAGACCTGCATGAGTTCATGCTTTCATCCCACATTAGGCTGACACGCCATGATGTAACAGGAATACTGTTCAAGGCAGCGGTAAACCCAACTCATTAACATACTATCTGGACATCAACATTAACATCACAATATTTAGTAAGTGGATATTACCATCATAAAAAATATTACATATTAAGTGAATCACCATCAGAAACAGAATGCTATATTTTACAGGGTTCAAAACAAGTGGAATTTCTTTGTGGACTACCACTTTAACATTTGGCACATGGCAACTCTGTAACAGATCATCATTTTTGTGGACTAGTGAAACTACAAACTAATTTCTAACCCTGCACAGTCAGCAATCATATCACATATAAACATATGTTGTTGTTTTTTGTTTGTTGTTTAATGCTGCATGATGATGATGATGATGATGATGATGGCATTTATATAACGCTATATTTCCACACCACAGAGGGGCAAACTTAAAGTGCTACTCGGTTATTACCCCTATCAATGAGATCAGTGTGCACTGATTTCATTCTCAGCTCCCTAGGGAGTATACAACCCAAGCTGCCTGTTTGGTGCTAAAAGGTTAACAGTCACATTACCACCTCATTCTACTGGGTGCCTCAACAGTTTGTATAAACAATACTGAGGTTGAAATGCATGCATGTTTATTTTGTTATTACTTCGTGTTTCAGTCCAGTGAGGTGTTCTACCCTGCATTTCTTACCAAGTATATAAACCGGTGACTTGAGTTTCAGCAGCCGTGGTTCTTGGCCGAGGATATCTTTAGCTTGACGACACAATGTCAGAAGGCACTTTGCGAGAGCATTTCTATCAACCTGGCCCCAGTTGAATGCAGGCTGGAACAGAACAGACAATCATTCTAATATGCAGGACATCAATCCATCAAGCAGGTCTGGAGACGCTGTTCAAAATGAAAACTTGTAATTGCAATGAGCTTATCAACAGAAAAGAAATGCATTGTCACATCATTTTAGGCCAAACAAACAGACCAGATAGAATACTTTTTTGTATGGTCTTACCTTGGGCAGTCCTCCATTCTCTCCCTTGATTGCTCTCTCAAAATAGCGGAGTCCTGTCAGCATTTCATTTGGATGAGATCGCTGAAAGTATTGGCACAATAGCAAGCCGATCATGTCACATGTTTTTTGTGATGGAAAAAGCCTCAGCTAAGAAGTCTTCATTTTTTGCTTAGTACTTTGAACTGCCACTGTACTCTGGTGTGTTTTTATGCCACTTTTGGGAATATTCCAGCAAGGTTGTTTTTGGTGTGTGTTTTTTGTTTGTTTTGTGTTTTATGCTGCATTCAGCAATAATCTTGCCATATGACAGCAGCCTGTAAATAATGTAGACATGAAATCCAGTGATATTATGAGTAATGATCCATGCTATCCGGATACGGTGACACTCACTGAACCAAGTGACTGAGCCTGATCACCTGATGTATTATGTTCCCTTATGTCCAGCATCGTTTGCTGTCGAATCCCCTAGGGAGGTCCTGCAAGGGACATGGAACCCCCTAGGGAGGTCCTGCAAGGGACATGGAATCCCCTAGGGAGGTCCTGCAAGGGACATGGAATCCCCTAGGGAGGTCCTGCAAGGGACATGGAATCCCTTAGGGAGATCCTGCAAGGGACATGGAATCCCCTAGGGAGGTCCTGCAAGGGACATGGAATCCCCTAGGGAGGTCATGCAAGGGACATGGAATCCCCTAGGGAGGTCATGCAAGGGACATGGAATCCCTTAGGGAGATCCTGCAAGGGACATGGAATCCCATAGGGAGGTCGTGCAAGGGACATGGAATCCCTTAGGGAGATCCTGCAAGGGACATGGAATCCCCTAGGGAGGTCCTGCAAGGGACATGGAATCCCCTAGGGAGGTCATGCAAGGGACATGGAATCCCTTAGGGTGATCCTGCAAGGGACATGGAATCCCATAGGGAGGTCGTGCAAGGGACATGGAATCCCATAGGGAGATCCTGCAAGGGACATGGAATCCCATAGGGAGGTCGTGCAAGGGACATGGAATCCCTTAGGGAGATCCTGCAAGGGACATGGAATCCCTTAGGGAGATCCTGCAAGGGACATGGAATCCCATAGGGAGGTCCTGCAAGGGACATGGAATCCCCTAGGGAGATCCTGCAAGGGACATGGAATCCCTTAGGGAGATCCTGCAAGGGACACGGAATCCCGTAGGGAGATCCTGCAAGGGACATGGAATCCCCTAGGGAGATCCTGCAAGGGACATGGAATCCCTTAGGGAGATCCTGCAAGGGACACGGAATCCCGTACGGAGATCCTGCAAGGGACACAGAATCCCCTAGGGAGAACCTGCAAGGGACACAGAATCCCCTAGGGAGAACCTGGAAGGGACACAGAATCCCCTAAAGAGATCCTGCAAGGGACACGGAATCCCCTAGGCAGGCCCTGCAAGGGACATGGAATCCCCTAGGGAGGTCTTGCAAGGGACATGGAATCCCCTAGGGAGATCCTGCAAGGGACATGGAATCCCCTAGGGAGATCCTGCAAGGGACATGGAATCCCTTAGGGAGATCCTGCAAGGGACACGGAATCCCGTACGGAGATCCTGCAAGGGACACAGAATCCCCTAGGGAGAACCTGCAAGGGACACAGAATCCCCTAGGGAGAACCTGCAAGGGACACAGAATCCCCTAAAGAGATCGTGCAAGGGACACGGAATCCCCTAGGGAGGTCCTGCAAGGGACATGGAATCCCCTAGGGAGGTCTTGCAAGGGACATGGAATCCCCTAGGGAGATCCTGCAAGGGACATGGAATCCCCTAGGGAGATCCTGCAAGGGACATGGAATCCCCTAGGGAGATCCTGCAAGGGACAAGGAATCCACTCGGGAGATCCTGCAAGGGACACGGTATCCCCTAGGGAGATCCTGCAAGGGACACGGTATCCCCTCGGGAGATCCTGCAAGGGACATGGAATCCCATAGGGAGATCCTGCAAGGGACATGGAATCCCTTAGGGAGATCCTGCAAGGGACATGGAATCCCCTAGGGAGATCCTGCAAGGGACAAGGAATCCACTCGGGAGATCCTGCAAGGGACACGGTATCCCCTAGGGAGATCCTGCAAGGGACACGGTATCCCCTCGGGAGATCCTGCAAGGGACATGGAATCCCATAGGGAGATCCTGCAAGGGACACGGAATCCCATAGGGAGATCCTGCAAGGGACATGGAATCCCATAGGGAGATCCTGCAAGGGACACGGAATCCCATAGGGAGATCCTGCAAGGGACATGGAATCCCATAGGGAGATCCTGCAAGGGACATTGAATCCCACAGGAAGATCCTGCAAGGGACACGGAATCCCCTAGGGAGATCCTGCAAGGGACATGGAATCCCCTAGGGAGATCCTGCAAGGGACATGGAATCCCGTAGGGAGATCCTGCAAGGGACACGGAATCCCATAGGGAGGTCCTGCAAGGGACATGGAATCCCGTAGGGAGATCCTGCAAGGGACATGGAATCCCATAGGGAGGTCCTGCAAGGGACACGGAATCCCATAGGGAGATCCTGCAAGGGACATGGAATCCCATAGGAAGATCCTGCAAGGGACATGGAATCCCATAGGGAGATCCTGCAAGGGACATGGAATCCCATAGGGAGATCCTGCAAGGGACATTGAATCCCACAGGAAGATCCTGCAAGGGACACGGAATCCCCTAGGGAGATCCTGCAAGGGACATGGAATCCCATAGGGAGATCCTGCAAGGGACGGGAGATCCTGCAAGGGACACGGAATCCCATAGGGAGGTCCTGCAAGGAACGCAGAATCCCATAGGGAGGTCCTGCAAGGGACATGAAATCCCCTAGGGAGGTCCTGCAAGGGACACAGAATCCTGTAGGGAGGTCCTGCAAGGAACGCAGAATCCCATAGGGAGGTCCTGCAAGTGACACGGAATCCCCTAGGGAGATCCTGCAAGGGACACAGGGAAAAACCATGAATGGGCTTCATTCACTGTACCAATGTCGTGAATCAAACCTAGATCTTTTGCCAGACAATGCCTTAACCACTAGAATATCCCACATCCTTACTAGAAACAAAGGTTGATAGTATTCCAACAGAGCAACCACTGAACTAGAACTAGAATATACTTACTTGGTTGAAGGAGTCGATGGAGGGCATTCGTTGAAATCTAGAGACATCTCCTTCAAGATGGTGGTCGGTACTTCCACTCACAGCCGGTGTACCTGCCCAACAAATCAGAAATAAAACCATCAGAAGGACAAAAGTAAAACATTTGGCAAATGCCTAATCATGGTTATAAACCGTCAGAAAATCACATATATAACCTTCAGCAAGTTATGAATAAAGCCATCAGGAGTATTGAATAAAACATACCACAAATCAGTACTAAAACATGACTCTCAAATGAGCAAGTGTCTCAAATGAAACCATCAGCACGTCTCTTAAAATAACCATCAACAAGTGTCTCTAATGAGTAAGTCTCCTATATGACACCATCTGCAAGTCTCTCAAATGAAGCCATCAGCACATCTCTTATATAAAGCATCAACAAGACCAAAATTTACCATCAGCAAGAATCTCAAATGAAACCATCAGCAAGTCTCCCAAATGAAACCATCAGCAAGACTCCCAAATGAAACCATCAGCAAGAATCTCAAATGAAACCATCAGCAAGAATCTCAAATGAAACCATCAGCAAGACTCTCAAATGAAACCATCAGCAAGACTCTCAAATGAAACCATCAGCAAGAATCTCAAATGAAACCATCAGCAGGTATCCCAAATGAAACTATCACTCTATAGAAAAGAACCTGTACATCACTAATGCAACCTTTTGTACATCACTGAGAAAAAGATACCACATCGACTACAATAAAAGTTTTTCTTTAATTTATCATGATTACAAAAGTGTAATGTGTACAGTTTTCAAGGTAGAAAGGTGAAATCTATGGGAGTTTACAATGCCAAAACAAACTTCAAAAGTTATCAAGACAGCTGTTGAGTACAGGGGTCTCCAACCCCTATGTGAATCAAGGGTACAAATATGTGATTTCAAAAGGTTTACACTATAGTCTCCAGTCCATATAGGATGAGTTGAGGCTGCTGGTGCTGAGAAGGGAATGCAGGTGGAATGTGGGTGAATGTTCTATTAAACACATGTTCTGGGGTCCAAAAGATAGACTCTCCACTGACCCTGTAGGTCCCAGAGAGCCATGACATCTGCCAGCGTGCCTGTCCTCCTGACTTTGACCGTGTGCGTCGCCAGCTCGTACTTGGGTAAGGGGGACATCCTCACAGCATGGGGAGCTCGTCCGTCGGGGTGCTTGAACACAGGGTCCACCTTGCCTGCTGCAACACACACATAACATGCATCATTAGTCCTGCACTTGGACTGTGGACTATCTGGGAACTTTCTGTAGGCCTCAAACTAGTCCAGAAATAGGTACATCAAGCTAGCTGCATTCAACACACGAAATCAGCATTGGGGAAAGAGTGAGTGATTAGCTCTGAACAGTATTTCAGATATTTTATGATGTGAAAAAAGTCTGGTCACGTGATTTTATTTTAGCTTGTCATCACTGAGCCAGAGTATGCAGAATGTAGACAAAAAACATTCAATCAAAGTTGTTTAAATAAATATTGATCAGCTGATTATGATGAATCCTTCATTAGACTGGGCAGTCAATGTTCGCTCCACCTGGAGGTGTCTTCAGATCTTCAAGCAGAGAGGTATCATACAAGAGTTAATGAGATTTTATGAGATTACCCCATTCAGTCATATAAACTCACTGTCTTCTACATCTAGGGGCCACTGTGCGGATTTGATCAGCTTGGGTCGGGTCTTCTTTGATGGAGGTTCTTCATCACTGTCATCAGACTTGTTGTTGTCGGCAGTGATGCTGAAAGTTGGGACAAATACAGTATCTTATTCTTGGGTAACTCTTTGTAAAATTTGTCATTATATATTGTTCATCAGAATGTTTGGACATTTCTCTTTGAAGTGGGTGGGTTGAGTGGTTGAGTGAGTGAGTGAGGTTTTACGCCGCTTTTAGCAATATTCCAGCAATATCACGGCGGGGGGACACAAGAAAAGATGGGCTTCACACATTGTACCCATGTCGAGAATCGAACCCGGGTCTTCGGCGTGACGAGCAAACGCTTTAACCACTAGGCTACCCAACCGCCCCTCATTTCTCTTTGAAAAGAATCACAAAAGAAACAATCGATCCAGCTTGGATCATCACTATCAATGTTGAGGACCCCATTTCTCAAAGCTATTTTGGTGCTACAACTGCCATAAGTATTACATACTCACTTTGTGATTTAACCAATCCCTGTTTTAAGCAGGCAGCTAGCAAGAGCTGGCACAGAACATTGCATGTGTTAGTAGCAGCTGTATTGGATTTTACAAGCTGACTGACCTTTTATACCACGAGACCACAAATCGAGGGAATACACATACTGTATGATACATTCACCTGGTGAAGTCCTGTCCAGCCTGCTATTGACACATACATCAAATTTATCACAACAAATTCACCCATTACAATAAATTATTGTCAGTGATTTTTTTGGTCTGACAAAAAGATCAATCTTGAGACAACCATCCAATGCTTAGTACAGTAACATACAGTGCATACAGGGTGACGTATAACATTGCGATGTCTGTGACATCTGTACAGACTGGCCATCAGACAGTATGATATTGTGATATCTGTAAAGGTCGACCTCAGACAGTATGACATCATGTCTGTACTGGATTTGGTTGGTTTGTTGTTTAACGCCGCACTCAGCAATATTTCAGCTATATGACAGCAGTCTGTAAATAATCGAGTCTGGACCAGACAATCCAGTGATAGATATCATAAGCATCGACCCACGCAATTGGGATCGATGACATACTTCAACCAAGTCAGCGAGCATGACCACCCGATCCCGTTAGTCGCCTCTTACGACAAGCATAGTCGCCTTTTACGGCAAGAATGGGTTGCTGAAGACCTATTCTACCCCGGATCTTCACAGGTCTATATCTGTACTGGAAGGCCAACAGACATGTATGTGTTTTTACAAGATGGCAGCCAGCCAATCAGATAGCTAGACACTTTATCAAGTAATGATAAATACCTTTTCACATTACTTGTACAAGACACAGGAAGACGAAGTAGAACGGATGTTCCGCGGAACTTGAGCTGTCCGACGGCGATGAGGAACTCAGCTAGGGGCAACTTGTCCACTGTGTCAGCACCAAACAACCTGGAATCAAGCCCAACATCACTCTTCACACTATCTCTACAATCAATGCTTTCTTCCCTTACAGTAAACTACGGAGTGAGTGAGTGAGTGAGTTGGGTTAAACGCCGCTTTTAACAGTATTACAGTTATTTCGCGGCGTATCAGCTTCATGTGGGAGGAAAGCCTGAAGTGATGCTGGTCTCAGACGTTTACCACTTCGGTGAAACCAACGAGCATGGGTATGGTGCTGACAAACCTAGAAACATAATCGGGGCGAACCAGGATTCGAACCCACAATCATAGGTTTCTGGCATGCCCAAGAGACGCAATTCTGCACAGCAAATCGCGGCGCCTTAGACAACTTGGCCACCCGTGCCCCCCATAAACTACGGATATAAGGAACTCAAAGGGAGCTATAATTCTAGTTTGTTATAACCCTAGTTCGTAATAAGCATGTATACAGCATGCATATATATAAGCATGTATACAGCATGCATATATATATATAAATGCATGGTGTATACATGCTTATTATGAACTAGGGTTATAACCATGATAACAAACTAGAATTATATATACAGTTCCCGGGACCAAAAACGTTCATTATAAGCGTGTTCATTATAAACATAGTTTTCTGTACAAAGCATATAACAAAACCCTGAGAACAAACACTTTACAGTTTTCATGAAATGCAATACTGACAGATTTTTCAACGCAATGCCTAATCCAAAGGCATGCCAATAATATGACATGATCTTCTTGTCTGGGCATAATCTGGTGTGTTTTAGGTGACAGTTAGCAGGGTGTTATGGTATGTATGCATACATATTAACAATGCACGTACATAAGGAAGCAAAAACATATGGCTGTTTAAATCATTATATTTATAGAAGTTAAGGTTTCATGTTACATGCCAGTGACATTTCCATCCTTGTAAGGAGGTGAGGTGAAATAGGGTTTAACGTCGCGTATCAGATTATTGCACTTATATAGCAACGTGCAAGTACGTGTGTGTGTGGCCGCTTGTGCTAGTCCGAACTGATGCCGATTTATAGTGCTAGCTCACTGAGATACCATGCCGCACTTTAACATGAATACCCCACTCAGACACAGTATACTGACTCCGACCCGACCAGTCCTTGTTTTAGCCCCTTAATGCCGAGCGCCAGACAGGGTAACAACAAGTACCATCTTTTAACGTCTTTTGGTATGACGCGACCGGGGATCGAACCCCGGACCTTCCGCTCTCCGGGTGGACGCTCTACCACTAGACCACGGAGGCGGTCCCATCCTTGTAAGGAAGACACTCAAAGTTCAGGGTATCAGTGGCGGATTTTCTTCACCCTAACATAGATCCCCATCTATAATAGGCTTAAACACTGTTATGTGCAATGATATGACATCCACTAATTCTTGGAAATCAAGAGAAGAGCACATGTACCCCTGGTACCCCTATGTACATGGCAAAGACTCTCAGAAGTTACAGCGAGTGCCCTTGACCACAAAGCAGCCCAAGCTATGTAATGTCATAACAATATATTTACCCTCTTTTAGAAAAGAGAAATCATTCTGTAAATACAGCATTTTTGTTCTGTGTTTGTATTGTCAGATGAACATGATGAACTAACTTTGCACTATTGGTAGCATCCTCCATGACTGATTCCTCGTCAACAGGGAGGCCCTTCAGGTGTCGCACATCTTTAACAAGATCTCTGAAAGTAAACATGTGAAGAATTAACAACAGACTCTGCAACATATTGACGTGGTTTCTTACTCCTAGAAGAGACTAAAATTCAGCTAAAACTCCCAGATGAGCAAACTATGCAATAAATGGAACCCAAATCTCCTGATGTCAGTTGTTTGCATGCTGCACATGGTCTTTCTCTCATCGAATTTGTTTTATACACGACTACTGTATTGTTTCTGATATTTCTGGCTCTTAGATGGTTCATAAGTTATCACTAGCATTGGGTACAAAGGACCTACAACAAGCATCGGGTGGTCGTCAATGACAACCTACAGGCATAGGGTGCTGATGACCTATAACAGACATTGGGCGCTAATGACCTACAACAAGCATCAGGTGCTGACGACCTACAAGCATCAGGTGCTACAACAAGCATTGGGTGCTGATGACCTACAACAAGCCCTTGTGCTGCATCCTACAACAAACACTGGGTGCTGATGACCTACAACAAGCATTGGGTGCTGATGACCTACAAGAATAAGGTGCTGACGACCTACAACAAGTATCTGGTGCTGACGGCCTACAACAAGTATCGGGTGCTGACGACCTACAAGCATTGGGTGCTGAGGACCTACAAGCATAAGGTGCTGAGGACCTACAACCATAAGGTGCTGAGGACCTACAACAAGTATCTGGTGCTGAGGACCTACAACAATTATCGGGTGCTGACGACCTACAACAAGTATCGGGTGCTGAGGACCTACAAGCATTGGGTGCTGAGGACCTACAAGCATTGGGTGCTGAGGACCTACAAGCATTGGGTGCTGAGGACCTACAAGCATAAGGTGCTGATGACCTACAAGAATAAGGTGCTGAGGACCTACAACAAGTTTCTGGTGCTGAGGACCTACAACAAGTATCTGGTGCTGAGGACCTACAACAAGTATCTGGTGCTGAGGACCTACAAGAATAAGGTGCTGATGACCTACAAGAATAAGGTGCTGAGGACCTACAACAAGTATCTGGTGCTGAGGACCTACAACAAGTATCTGGTGCTGAGGACCTACAACAAGTATCTGGTGCTGAGGACCTACAAGAATAAGGTGCTGGTGACCTACAAGAATAAGGTGCTGATGACCTACAAGAAGTATCTGGTACTGACGACCTACAACAAGCACTGGGTGCTGACAACCTACAACAAGTATCAGGTGCTGATGACCTACAGAAAGTAATGGGGTACCAGGAAAATACAAATAGCACAGTGTACTGAGGACCTATCCTGCCTGGAATCCCAGGGTTTACTCACCTGAACTCATCAAACTGCAGGAAGTTGTCACTGTTGGCATCATAGTATCTGAAGATGTATCTACAACGGGCCTCAGCCGGCATGCCACCATGCTGTGTGCACGGCTCCATACATGCCAGCCCCAACAAGAGCTCCTTGAACGTCAGGTAGTTCTTCTTGTGGATGTCAAATGCTCTGCGAAGATATAGTATTACCATCACACGTTATGAAACAACTATCTGTTGGGACAGAGGCTGCTACAAACAAGTTGTATTGTAGAAGACCAGGTATTTATCTATTTTTTTGAAAAAAGTACCCATTGAACCAAACAAAAACAAAAATTTGAAATTGAGGATATTTTTTATATGATTATAGCATTGCATTTAATCCAATAACTTAAAATTACGACTTTTTCTCTTTCTTTGTTCCATTATCAGCAACTACAAGCCAGTTTTACATGGCTGAAACAATACTGGAGTTAAATTAAGCCTCTTGGACGAACGTTGACTGTTTGCAGTTTCCAACATGACCAACTGAAGAATGAATTAACTAAATTTGTAATCAATCATTTTCAAATAATATAAGTTCACTTTAATCATGTTAATGAATTTATGGGGGGTGGAAATGAATTAAGTATAACATGTATTAAAACACAAGAGTCAGTCAAGACAAAGTTTCAAGGCCTGTTGCAAAGTGCCCTAGTAGATTTGGTATTTGTGTTGCAGAATAATACATGACATAGTAACAAATGATTTAGTACATTTCACAGTTTGGCTATTTTATCAATTGTTATTTACACATGGTGAATACAGAGGAAATGTCGTATGATTGATCCTAAATCGATCATTGATTTCTTTTTCAAACCAATCATCAATTCTTAAATCTTAACACTATCAGGCTGAGTGAGTGAGTGAGTTGGGTTTATCAGAGCTTTGAGCAGTATTTCAGTAATAATTCATTTAAGTATGCCAAACCCTCAAACTCTACATGAAACAATGGTGCACAGCAAAGCGCTGGGGCTACAGCCTGCTAAATCTGTGAAGAGCTACCTGAACAGTGGCAGAGGCTTGCCTCCCTTCACTCCTTTAGTGGTGATGTACCTCTCAAACGTCATGAAGTTCATTGAATGGCTTGGGTGACAGAAGTCGATGAACTCTTCAAACAGCATGTCTTGTTCTGTAATTTAGATAGTAAAAGATCACTAACACGCTCAGTAATGTGTAGACAACAGTAGATAACTTACACGCTCCATAACGTCTAATAACGATCGAGAAATTTAACTTTGGTAAATCAAATGGGTCCAGGGTACTTATCATAACACATTGCAGATGTAGCACACTGGAGTATCGAGGATGAGCATACACTTCACACAGACCTTTCTTGGCTAGCTTGGCCGACTTGACCAGAGTCTCCTGTGGCGTGAGTGACGAGCCATTCCCTCCGTCAACATACTCCACACCACTCTCCACCAAGCTCCCTACAGGGCAGCTATCTGAAATAGGGAAATGATTCTGTTAACATTTATTTTTGTGTTATTTTGTAAACCATGGAATTCTCATTTAAACAGTCTGTGCCAAAAATTGTTGTGTCAGCTAGCCAGAACGTATCTCTTGGCAACACTATCACCCTATTTCATTACTAACATATCTAGACCCGTGAAGATCCGGGATAGAATAGGTCTTCACTCTTCAGCAACCCATGCTTGACATAAAAGGGGACTATGCTTTTCATAAAAGGCGACCAAAGGGATCGGATGGTCAGGTTCGCTGACTTGGTTGATGCATGACATCGTATCCCAATTGCGTGGATCGCTGCTCATGATGTCAATCACTGGATTGTCTCGATTATTTACAGAACGCCATCATATAGCTGAAATATTACTGAATGCGGCGTTAAACAACAAAGAAAGAAAGAAACAATTATTACCTGAGTTTCAAAACAGAAAGGATATTACAGGAGTTGGATATTGTGACTAACAGATAAAATTGCAGACTGTATCTATGGTTGATAAATGCTTACAAAGATGATAGTGTGTGAGTGGCAGAAATACAGGTCTGCAGCTACATCTTGACTTGAACAGTTGACATGGTCTCGCACATTCACATTACAGAAGAGATCAGGGATTTATCTAGCCCTCTTCAGCAAATGACAACCAATTCCCAATTGGAATTAATAATTTCCCAAGTCTTCAGATTTTTTTTAAATGGGAACATTAAAAAATAAAAAAATTTGAACGATATCACACTTTTTTCCCATTTTGCCTGACAAGGGCACTTTGTCTGAAATCCTAGATAACTCCTGAGAGGTGTCAAGACATGCCTCCTGACATATCATTAAATATTGTCATACTTCAATTCCAGTATGATACTTATTGAGAAACAATGTTATTGCATTCAGGCTTACGTGAGGCAGTACAACACTATCAACAAGTTTGTGTTTAAGTCATATGGTTAATGTAGGCTCCTTCTAACATGCACAATGATACAGAACAGTATCCAATTTTTAACATTTCTCCACGACCCCAATTTTATAGCTTTGGACCACCATATTTAATCGGGGACCCCAACTAACTTGGACCACCAAAATAAATAACCCAGGTTACTCCCTGAATAATCATGATAATATTTCAACAAAATGTGCCATGTCCTGAAAATCAATCTCTCACCTTCTTTGAGTTGCTGAATGAGCCGGAGTGGTTCAAATCCTAAAATCCCGGGCTCGACCCCTGGCGCCATCTGCTCCTCCATGTCCCTCTCTGATAACCATACTGAGGTGTCTGGATACTGAAAATACAACAAAATATATGTTTCAACAGAAGATACAGAATACAGACCATCTAACATCCTTAAGAGAATAATTGGTTGTCACTGGTGTTCTAATTAATTGATTTCATCATACATTGATTGGTTCATTGAAAGAAATTATAAAATCTGTGATCATCAGCTGATCATTGATTATTTTCATATGATATCAGTTCAGTTAATGAATCTGTTGGGGCTAAATAAATAAAGCCTCACATGACTGACAATGGATGACAAATATGGTCATAAGGCATGTAGTTGATCATGTTGCCGAGTCATTGAGTAAAGTAAGCCATCATTTATTAATGTTGCTGCTTCGTATATTGTTTTCTACATCATGTACATGAGCGAATGAGTGTTATGGTTTTACTCCACTTTAAGCAATATTCCAGCAATATCACGGCGGGGACACCAGAAATGGGCTTCACACATTGTACCCATGTCGGGAATCGAACCCGGGTCTTCGGCGTGACGAGCTAACGCTTCAAGTACTCGGCTAACCGACCACCCTTTCATGTACATGATGAAGAATATAAACAAATGATAGAGCGAAAGTGGTCCAATTGTTTCTATTCATATTCTCATTCATGATTTTTTATCACAGAAATCCAAACATGGAGGATGCAATAAAAATGTATCACCAGGGGCAGAAACTAACATTTTTAGTCTACTAGTCCTTATAATGATAACAAGTAGCAAAAGCCTTATAAAGGGCAAACTTCTACTAGTCCTTATGATACCTTAACCATTGGGCAGTTTGACGACGGCTACAGGACTAGTGCCAATTTCTAACGCTTATCACGTATCTCCAACATATGACCAGAGCTTCAGATCGGTTCTTTTTCTTGGGGGGGGGGGCACGGGTGGCCCAGTCGTCTAAGGCGCTGCAATTCGTTGTGCAGAGTTGCGTCCCTTGGGCACGCCAGAAACCTATGATTGTGGATTCTGGTTCCCGGTTCGCCCCGATTATGTTTCTAGATTTGTCAGCACCATACCCATGCTCGTGGGTTTCACCGAAGTGGTAAACATCTGGGACCTGCATCACTTCGGGCTTTCCTCCCACATTAAGCTGACACGCCATGATATAACTGGAATACTGTTAAAAGCGGTGTTAAACCCAACTCACTCACTCACTCACTCATTTTCTTGGACACTGACCATCATCCAAAATATCCTGAAGGTTATTTTCAATTTTGTTATAATGTAGAAGAATGTCATATAAAAAAATGTGATAAAAGAATGGAACTTTCCTATTGCTACCTGTCTCGAGCAAGAACACTCCATGATATACATGATGTATCTGTAGTAAACGCATTCAGAATTTCAATCGTATCTGACCAAATTCCATATGTTCTGCTAACCTGGTCTATGCTTGTGAGGGGTGATGTAAGAAAGATGACATGTGTAGATGATGGTCGGTGAGAGAATCTTGTGATGTTGGTGCGTAATACGCCTTTCAAAGCAATCCTTTGTCCACATACCTGAAACAGACAAAACCATCAAGGAGTACTATGATTACCTAAACAAGAACTTTCTGTAATTCAACATTATACAGAATGTCTCATTCCCCATGTTATCGAACCATTGATAATACATACTTTTCTGATTCCTAATTTAACGTAAGTGTGCTAGTCAAGTAGGAGTTTTGACAGTTCCAATTTTACCAATACCAACTCTGTAGCAGATAATATTTGCAGATTAGTGAGAAAAGAATCAAAATTCTAAACCTGCTTTTACATTCATAAATTTTAAAACAATGTATGATCAAGGATATATCATCAAAACTATACTGAAATCGTTCACTGTACAGAGTGGTGTATGCATGATTCCAATTCATCCCTTATAAGCAGGGCCAGACACAACACAAGATTGCAAGGTGCATGTAAATTCTAACACTGCACTCAGATTCCTGGGTGTTTTGACGTTTATTTGACATGCGCGAAAAGACGGTAACTCTTCCTCAAAGGGGATTAATTCTTTATTGGCCCCTTTGCCTTCAGTTTTCAGTGATGCCTTCAAATTACAAGGTATGTTATTATCACACTTAAATCACCATGCTCCTTGTAATCACAAGGATAGGGAGGCAAGCTATGGAGTATTTTCAAAATGGCAGCAATATGACGAATGCTAGACAACTTTCAGACACATTTTCTCTGATAATTGCAATAACCTTTGAAAGAGCATAAATGGAAAGTGTTCTACATTCATCTCTTGTGTTACTTCTTGTGTAGCAGGGCTTGGAGTCATCCCACAGATGACATCCTTACCTTGTCAGCTTGCTGATGAGGTTAACCTCTTTGGTCATGTGGATAAGGCGTCCAACCTCGGATCAGAAGGTCCGTGGTTCGAATCCCATCACGGGTCTCGGAAATTTTATGGCCGCTACACTTGCATTAAACATGTTTAACATTCTCCCATTTAAAAAATGGACCGTACATTGAAGTTTGAATATGGCAGCCGGTGACCTGATTCAATGGTGAGCTGATGATTTGTTTGGTTTATCGGGATCCTCTGATATCATATTGCAATGGATTGTAAACTAAATTTGCTAAAAACAAAATATTGCTATATATAAACAAGGTGTTACATTATGATTAGGTTCCAAGCCTGTGGCAAATCGTAACGATAAAAGAGTGTAGTAGTTGATCTGACAAACACCTAGTAATTTGAGTGTGGCACTGGAATTTACGTACCCCTTGAAATCCGGACCTGATAAGCGCCCTTTGAGGATTAATGTTTGGATCAAGATTAGAAGAGATATGGACATTATCGACCTCAAAGGGACAGTACGTCAACGGTTCTCTGTCTTTTTAAATCATACATACATGATATAATTTCCGAGTATGACACAACATGCTCGATTCTGTTCCTAAACCAAAAGAATAGAGCTCTGCACAGTGAAGCCAACAATGCAAGCGCTGCACAGAGAAAGCTGGCTTCAGTCTTTCTTTTTTTAGGGACAAATTGGAGAGAAAGCTTGTGTTTTTTTTTAGTTGAGTTACAAAATACTTATTGCCGGGTTTGATTAGATTAGAAGCCAGTGTTTTTCAAAGCAGAGATTTGGCCAGGTATTTGGCCTCCCTGACTACCAAAAAGATTGCTTACACACCAAAGATAAGAGTACAAGCAAGTATTGTGATACATATGGGACCGTGACCAAGGTATGGTGATATGTATAGGATCGCACAGTTGGCGTATCGTCCCAGCCCACGTCCAGTCATGGAATTCCTATGTAGAGCTAGCGATATGGTCACTTTGATGGGTAACACTATACTGCATCTCACTGTCACAGTAGTTAAAGTATATCTATCATTCGAACAGCCGTATTTGATATTGATTTGACGTTATAAAGAGAGGTGTGACATCATCAAAGCTGCCCCCTTCAGAGTGCACACGTTCAGGCCTGTCAACATTGGGTTACACTGTACACCTGTCAGAACATTCCATCCTCATTCAGAATATTGGTACCCGTGTCATGATGAAAAGAATGTGAGGTGAGGTGAAATGGGGTTTAACGTCGCGTCCAAGATTATTGCACTTATATAGTGACGTGCATGTACGTGTGTGTGTTTGTGAGGCTTACCATTAGACCACGGAGGCGGAAGAGTAAAATAGTGTGAACACTATAATTTGACAAACATTCATATTTTGTGAATAGGTTTCAAACTTTCAACTACTGTTTGAGTTTTAATGCCGACCTGCAAGAATTATGTTAAGAAATGTGTGCAAAAACATGTCTGTTCATTCATGGAAACCCCGCTAAAGTACGGAACCATTCAGGGGTTTGACAATAGGTGACGTCATTCGAGTGCAGTGGAAGTTCACAGACGAGGTAATGGAGGTCACGCCTTTTATCGAGGATTTGTTTTCTTTAGAATGTGGCTGAATTGTATTGCTGAAGTCATTACCTACTGGTATGAAGCAGAATTTGAGTTTTGATTCACTCATCTCTCGAAATAGCAGAAACAGAATAAAGCGAAAAGAGCCAAGTAAGCTTGAGGGTTATTGGCTACTGTTTATAAACAATGCTTCTGAACGGTCAACGTCCTGACGCATTAAGAATATGAAAACATTGTAAATAACAGATCTACAGGAAAATAAACTGCAGACACCTTTTTTACACAAAGTTTCCAAGAAACATTCCTTAAAATGAAGTCATGATTCAAGTTTTGAAGATGACACTGAATCGGTTTACTTCCTTGAAATTGTTTCTTTGATGTTTTGTGATAAACCTAAGAAATACATTTCAATATAAACAAATACCAGTAATGGACAAGTAAAATTAATCTTTTTTTCAGTGTAACATGTAAGCGTCAGTATAGCGTGTGCATTTCATGCAGACGATCTTTTGTTGTGAGTCATGAAAGCGTACCTCTTCAGCCAAGTGCAGAGCAACGGATTTCAGAGTTTCCTTTTTGTGCCTCTCAGTTGTTGGCAGCCACAAACCCTTGTCTTCATTGTTCACTAACAAAATCTTTCCGTGATTCGAATCGGAAATAAGTACACTGACAAATTCTGTGCTTTTACGTGACATTTTTAGACTACATTCCTAGTTTTGGGAGGTAAACAATAAATCTTGTAAATCAACACAGTGTCGAAATATCCTAAATTCCTTTTCGTTGCGTTGCAAAGGCGGTGTTGGGAGCTTGCAAGTGGTAGCGTGCCCATTTCCGGTATGTCCTAGTCAAATTATAACGAAGTAAGCATGTCATTAAATGATTTCTTGTTGAACAAAAATTAATAATTTTACAGAATAGGTCATGACACAATGTAGTAATTGTTCATAGCCACAATGGATAAACATTATTCTTGATTTTCACAATGAATACTCGCACGCAACTTTTAAATCAGTAGAACATCGCGCATGCTCTAAACAAGCGCACGTGTTGATAGAACACGGAGTAAGTTTTTATAAGACGATGATAAATATATGTTTACGAATAGGGAATGTGAAAGGTGGTCATCAAATATGACCAAAAACATATATCGTACGCCTACTGAGAAGTTATGACGGACGTGTTATATGTAGTGAGGACTGGACATGTAGGCTACATACTTGTTAAATCTCGAAATTAAGATTGGATTGTACATGTTTTCAGCTGTTTACATAGGCTAGATCTCGATAGGAAACTTGTCATATTGATATGAAATTGTTATTTCAAAATTAGACAGGACATGTTATATTGATAGAGGACTGGACCTGTTATTTGTCCAATCAAATGGTCTGGAGACATGTTTCTCGAGAGAGTACTGAACACATAAATGTTTCTTGTTTCAAAAGTGAACAATAACACATTTTAATATTTGTTATGTCAAAATTGGGAACACAGGTGACCAAGTTGTGTAAGGTTCCACGATTCGCTTTGTTGGATCCCCTGGACGCATCAGAAACCTATAATCATGCGTTCGAATCTCAGTTCGTCTGATTATGTTTCATGGTTTTGTCAGCAGACTCTGCACCATACCCGTTTCACCACATTGGTAAACCTCTGAGTCCTGCATCACTTCAGCCTTTCCACCCACATTAAGCTGACACGCCCTGATATAACTGGAATACTGATCAATTGTAACTCCATCACTCACTCATCATATCATACTGGACATATATTGCATAGAAAGGGGACAGGTTATATTGACATGTTGTATCAAAATTGGATACGATGTGTTATATTGAGAGATTATCAGTCACATTCTTTTTGGTTTTATGGAGAGTGACTGCAGATGTTATATTGATTTGTTTGTTGTTTAGCGTCGCACACAGCAGTATTCCAGCTATATGACGTCGGTCTGTTAATAACCGAGTCTGGACCAGACAATCCAGTGATTGACATCATGAGCATTGTTCCACACAATTGGATATGATGACATGCATAAACCAAGTCAGCGAGCCTGACCACCCGATCCCATTAGTCACCTCTTACGACAAGCATACTCCCCTTTTATGACAAGCATTGGTTACTGAAGACCAGTTCTGCCGAGTGCAAGTAGAACGTCAGTCTTCTGCTGTGGTATATGTTACCATCATAGAGGCTATAAGATATAGTACACCTTCAAGGTTCATTTCTATCTCTCTTTGTCATCTCTATGGTTCATTTCAGATAAGGGGTACTGGATAATTCATCTCCAGGTGATACACACAGCTCCAGACAGCCTCCCACAACATGCAGGCACAGTGTGAAGTTTGTACTGAAGGGGCAGCCAAGTACAAGTGTCCTCAGTGTGTCCTCAAATAGTAAGTTATTATATGCAATGACAAACAGAAATTTCCATTCTTCTTTCATATCGATTTATTTAAAGAAAGCATTTAAGCACAACATAATTGACAATTACTGTATTTCCTTGATTAAATGCCCTGGCGTATATTTCTTTGAGACACTCTTTACCCCCGAGGCCTAATCGCAAAGATAGAAATCGGGAGAATTCCCATATCCGAGGCAAGAGAGTTAACTGACTGTAAAAGTCCAGTTTCCACCGTTGCCAAGCTAGGCTGGAATTTCTAGGCTCGAATGTAGCGCCACCAGTGGCTTTTACAAGTTATGTCCCTTCTATGTTCCTCCGATTGACCAATCAGATTCCACCTCTCATATCACTTGCAATGTTTCAAATAAAATGGCATCGCCTAGTGAAGACGATCTGATCAATAATCAAGATCCATTTTGTAATAAAACAGGTCTTACTTAAGTGCATCAAATCAGGACAGCACCTTGATTAAAAACATGAAAAGCTTTGGAAACTATTGTTGACACTAAATTGAAATCTGAACAGCATTTTATGAACCGGATGTCGATTTCATTTCGCGATTTTCATTTGTCTTTGCATAGACTCATTAGTCCAGCCAAAATAGAACTCCATAAATCCAGCCTAGTTCGGCAAGGCTGGAAACTGGACTTCTATAGTCAGTTAACTCCCTTGCCTCAGGAAGATGAAGAATTCTGTGTATAAACACTTGCAGGCAATTAATCAAGGCCAGGCATTTATTCGAGACACTGGCATCTGTTCGAGGGCGGCAAATATTTGAGGCCCAGTGTTTAATAGAGGAAATACAGTAACATGACTTATCGGGCTCGTTGAAATTGGATAGTGAGAAAGAAAATAATTGTCATATATGAGTTGTTGACTTTCAAGGTTAAGCTACTCAAAACCTTTTGTTGGCCAGATGTATGATTTCAAAGTTACATCCCTTATCTGCACCAGGATACACTGATTCTTGGTTGCCAGCACCATACCTTAGATTCAAACAGGAAAGCGTTTATGACCTATGTAATTTTCTACCGCCTTAAGTTGCAATGTGTCTCATGGTATTATTATGTTTCTTTTTCTGTCTCTGCAGCTGCTCAGTCCAGTGTTACAAGCAGCACAAAGGTATGTAATTCAGCAGCAACTGGTAAGGGGTCAAGGTCACTTAAGGTCAAATTATGAAACATGGTTCAAATATTACAAAATATTGGATTACCATAATTCCTGAGAAATCTGAGCATTTTCCAATCAGATTAATTAATGGATAATCAAGGTCTTTGTAATATGTTAAGATGAATGTTGTAACATGTATTAGGGTAGCCAGAGGCATGGGACTCAAAGTGTACTGCATTGGACATGAGATCAACTGTCACTGTATGTGGTGAAGTTTTTATTTTTGTTTGTTTATTTGTTGTCTTACGCCACACTCAGTAATATGACAGCAGTCTGTAAATAATCGAGTCTGGACCAGACAATCCAATGATTGACGTCATGAGCATCGATCCATGCAATTGGGATACGATGATATGTATCAACCAAGTCAGCGAACCTAACCACCCGATCCCGTTAGTCCCATCTTATGACAAGCATGTTGGCCTTTTACGGCAAGCATGGGTTATTGAAGACCTATTCCAACCCAGATCTTCACGGGTCTTATGTGGTGAAGTCAAAATGGTTTATGCTACTTGTTTGTGATTTGGTTGCAATGAGACTGCTTCTGGTTTTGTGTGTAATGCAAACACCTTTCTCGTCACCACTACTGTTATATTATCCCGAATCCAGTTTCTTGAGAGCTTGTGATGGGATATGGCCCTCATCTGTTGTATCTGTTAACTTGTCTGTCTCTAAAATCACAGTCCGCTGTTCAGTGTTCAGATCCCGATTTCATTCCAAATGTTATGGTTGGTCTGTATGTGTTTGTGACGTTCATTACCTTGGGGACCGCCTCCGTGGTCTAATGGTAGAGCGTCCGCCCGGAGAGCGGAATGTCCGGGGTTCGATCCCCAGCCACGTCTGGTCGGCTCGGAGTCTGTATACTGTGTCTGAGTGGGGTATTCATGTTAAAGTGCGGCATGGTATCTCAGTGTGCTAGCACTATAAATCGGCATCAGTCTAGACTAGTTCAAGCAGCCACACACACACAAACACACACACACACACACACACACACACACACACGTGCTTGCACGTCGCTATATAAGTGCAATAATCTTGGACGCGACGTTAAACCCCATTTTACCTCATTACCTTGGGCATTCGCGAAACCAATGATAATGGATGGAAGCCAAACAAATTCTATAGTATGGGTACGGGTGCCCCTAGACTAACATTTAGTCTATGAAATCTCATGATATATAATACCCTTCTTGACTCTAAAAATAAAAAATAAAAATTTTCCCTATGCAAATTGTGGAGTAGAGCTGGCAGGCTTGCTTTTGTATACATTTCTAGATAGTTTTATAAATATATTCCACAGTCATGGTGCAGGACTAGGTGCCCCAGTTGTCTAAGGCATCACAATTTGCTGTGCAGAGTTACGCCCATTGGGCACACCATAATTCTAAGTGTGTGGCTTCTTATCCTCGTTTCCCCGAATATGTTTCTCGGTTTGTCAGAACATGCCCTTCCTCATGGGTTTTACCAAAGTGGTGAAGGTCTAAGACCTGCATCACCTCAGGTTTCCTCCCACTTTAAGCTGACATGACTGTGTATAAGTGGAATGTTTTAGTCTGCTTTCAGTCGTACAAATGGGTATCTCTCATACCCTCACGTCTAGTCGCACGTTTAAGAGGAAGCCAGAAGCTGGAATGTAAACATTAAACTTGTTTCCGTCCGGTTGCGCACGCACCTCCCTATGACATGTCACAAATCTCTCAGCGCGCCTCTGCGCTGGTCGCTCGAGAAAGTCTTTCGCGGTAGACTGCTAGTTTGTATTCTACTAGTACTTATCGCTTATCTACAGTTGTTCTAATAAAGTAATAATATGTCTTACCTGTAGACTCCTGGAATGTAATCCTTGGTAATCCATTGTTTGTGTTCAACGCGTGTTTCGCTGTTTGACAGTGATTCTACACGTGGCAATATGTCGGGCATTTGTGCCTCGTGTCAACGAAAACTGTCTAAAGTAGACCCTCACAAGTATTGTCCTTCCTGCATCATTAAGGACGGGTTTTCAACGTGTTCGTGGAATAAACGTTGTAAAGAATGTGAAAACTTGTCTTCAATAAACTTTAACTTGTATCTTCGTGCGTTGGCGAAGCGGGCCGCTGACCAGCGCTACAAGCAGAGAAGGTCATCGGTTGGATCCTTGGACTCTGCACCCTCCGCATCAGGCCCTGGGGGTGGCGAGTCGACCACACCTCAGAAATCAGTTGATAAAGACCCGCCTCAGTCAACTTCAGTTTTCGACAAGACACGTGACCGTTCGCCTGCTGATGATACTACCCGCACGACTGGTCTTCGTCATTCGGTTGATCGAGAGCGTCACTCAGCCTCCCCCGTTACGACGGGACCGGGTGGTGACGAGGACCATGAGGGGACTACGGTCCCCAGTCGGTCCGTATCTCGTTCTACCAACGACATCGTAGGGACGTCGTGCGGGACGACAGTGGACACAGAAGTCGTTCCCGTTCAAGTCGGGACGACAGGACGAGTGCCTCGTCGAGAGACAGTACACGACACGAGGGCGTTCATCGTCATCGTGGTCGTCGAATGTACGATTCGGACGATAACTACGATGGGGATCGTAGTACTTCTACAGTTAGAGATCGTAGCCCTAGTCCCCACGGGGACGTGCGATGTTCTCGAAGGGAGTTTCGGGGAGTTCAGCGTCGTAGTGAAGATAGTGACAGAACGACGACCTCGTCTCACTTACATATCGACCCGGCTTTGATAGCCCAGATCACGGCGGCGGTCCTCGCCTCGACGGCGTCGACCAAGAAGGATACGACTACGTCGGGGGTCCATGGCCCGTCAACTAGTACAGCAGCTCCTTCATCTACGCCTCCACACTCGACGTGTACAATGGATTGTGACGACAGCCCTCCTAGGCCTCCCATAGAACGATGACAACCCGACGCGTGCGGGCTTTAAGGTGGGAGATACACCGCAGTCTCTTCAGTTTTCTCCTCCCGATGTCTTCAGAGCCATGGCTCACGACATGGACCAGAACTTTGGCTCTGCTCTGCCTGGGCAGAGCTTCTGCAAGCCGCCTGGTCGATCTCGTTACCCGATCTATGGCATGCCGTTTTCGTCACCCATGACTACGGATTTGGACTGGGGGCTACTCTTCAAGAGACCAGCGCCCTCCACATTTGGAATCCTTGGACACTGCTGTTTGTCACCAGCTGCAAACGCTTGCTATGCTGTCGACAGCGATCAAGGCCCTCTCAGTGTACTTTGAGGAGAAAGAACCCCAGGACGAGGACGACAGGACGGTGCCATCGGTCCTCACCTGTATGCAACGGTGGATCTCGGACGTCCTCGCCCAGTCCCGATATGTATCGGGCCAGATTACTACGGCGCGTCGCCATGGTTACATCGACTGCACTGACCTACCTGATCGTCATGGCAGGTCACTCTTACGGGCCCCGTGGACATCGCAACAGTTGTTCGACGGTCGTACCAACGACGTTCTGGACAAGTACTCCAGGGAAGCCGAGCGTGACATCATCATTTCGGCTTCACACAACCTGTCCAGACGGCCACCGGTTTCGAACGCCCCATGACGACGTTACCGAAACGAGAATGTGCAACGGGCCTTCCGTCCCTCGACAGCCGTCCCGCAAGAGAGATTCCGACAGGAAAGGTCGCCAGGTCTCCTTTCCAAGTTTCCCAGAGGGGGACAGTGCCAGCGGGGGAGGAAGTGAGGTCCCTTCCCCCGCCGTCGCCGTGGTTGGAGTCTCCCCCGGTGACACTACCTTTAGACGAGCTACCGGTAGGGGGCCGACTTCGTCACTATGCCCACAAGTGGGTTTTCCTCAACGACCCTTACGTTCAGAACATTTTGACAACAGGCTACGCCCCACGCCTGAGATCGACGCCACCACTGACGTCATCCCCGACATTCCACATTCCACCAACGGATCGGCTGACGGCGGCCATCGATTTGTTGGTGGAAAAGGCAGCCGTACTTCGCCTGGGGACATCGGCACCATCGCCGAGGTACTACTCGCCCATCTTTCTAGTACCCAAGAAAAACTCCACAAAGATGCGGCTTATTTTCAATCTCAAAAAGTTCAACGCAACATACCTCCAACCACCCAACACATTCACCTTGATATCCCTCAGCTCTCTGCGTCGGATGATATTACCGAACGACTTCCTCGTCTCGTTAGACCTTCAGGACGCGTATCTACATGTACCAATAGCTTCCGAGTTCCAGAAGTACCTCCGATTCGAATACCAAGGTATTCCTTACCAGTGGGCGGCCCTCCCGATTGGAATTTCTACGGCCCCGTGCTTTTTCACACGGATCATGAAGACGGTCGTAGAATGGCTCCATCAGCAGGCGATCAGGGTCGCCTTCTACCTAGACGACGGGCTCCAAGCTCACCAGTTTACAGAAGCCCTTCTACTACGGTACCTCGGGTGGATCGTCAACTTTCAAAAGTCGGACTTGGTACCAACTCGGGTTCTACAGTACATTAGGATACGCTTCCAGACGGGAGTCAATCTGGTCCAGGTACCTCAAGACCGTTGGGACAAGATTGTCAGCAGCGTTCCGAGACTTCTACATGCCTCGGCGTCGGTGCACACGTGGCAGGAAGTCCTCGGTCTGTTGACATCAGCCCAAGACTTGACTTGACGAGGTCGTCTTCAACTTCGTCCGCTGCAGAGATTGCTGTACCCCCACCTGGAGTTTCCCAATCTCCTGGTTCCACTTCAGGCGCAGCTACGTTGTCATCTGGAGTGGTGGCTTCAGCCGTCGAACGTTTGCGAAGGCGTCTTTATGAGCGAGCCTCCGTTCATACTACACCTATTCGTAGACGCGTCATTGGAAGGCTGGGGAGCGCACTTCGGGGACGACCAAGCGGCCGGGCTGTGGTCGCCAGTAGAAAAGGTCCTCCACATCAACTGCCTCGAGATGGAAGCAGTGATTCGGGCAGTCGAGTTTTGGAAACTTCGAATCCGTCGGAAACGGCTGATGATACAGTCGGACAACTCCACAGTCGTCCACTGCGTCAACAAACAGGGAACAACTCAGTCGGCGGCCCTTCTGGACCGGACATTCAGGTTCTTCGCCCTTGTCGACGACTTGGACATGGGCGTACGCGCCCGTCACATCCCGGGGGCCAAGAATGTGATTGCCGACGCCCTGTCGAGACCATCGAGGCCGTCTCCCACGGAGTGGATGATCCATCCGACAGTCTTTCATCTGCTGACAGATCGACTCTGGTTGCCCCGTACAACAACCGCCTCCCTCGATTCGTGTCGCCGGTTCCAGACCCATGGGCATGGGACCACGACGCTCTAGCGATATCGTGGGGGGGGTCTAGACGCTTACGCGTTTCCACCAACGGTGCTGTTACCATCGCAACTGGTGAAAGTTCGTCAAACGGCCAACCTACGTCTGCTTTTGGTCGCGCCTTATTGGCCGGCCAGAACATGGTTCCCGGCACTTCTTCAAATCATCGATCAACCACCGTTCCCGTTGCCAGATCGAGACGACCTCCTTCTTCATCCTCACACCGACGACTTGCATCCGGGGATAAAGAACTTCCAGCTTCGCGCCTGGGTTTGCTTAAGACCTCGTTAATGAAGGAAGGCTATTCGGCTAAAGCGGCAGCGCTTGTCTCGTCGGCACGACTCGTAAGCTGTAAGATGACAAGTGGACCACTTTCTCCATTTTTGCCAGGTCTCATGGCTTCATGGCTACAGGTGGCGGAGTTCCTAGTCTCTCTCCGGTCATCTCGGCGTCTGAAAGGGTCGACGATCTCGACATATCTGGCAGCTTTGGCTTCAGTAGTGCCGTCTCCTACGGGCGACAAGCTCACTAACGTACCGGAGTTGCAGAAGATTCTACGTGCCTTCATGGTTGAAGATCAGTCACGTAAATTCCGACCGCCGGCCTGGGACCTTGATGTCGTTCTGCGCAACCTGTCTAGTCAGGCTTACGAGCCTCTCGATCAGGTCGCGTTCGACTTATTGTCTCAGAAAACGGTTTTCCTTCTCTCGCTGGCTACGGCTGCGAGAATTACGGAAATACATGCCATTGGCGTCGGTCGGATTACGTTCGATCAGCGTAACCATGGCAACGTCCATCTTGGTCTCAGATGGGATTTTTTAGCGAAAAATCAACTTCCTGGCCAAGATCCGAGAATGTTCAACATTCCTTCCTTGTCTGCCATTATGGGCCCTCATGATCACGCTGATCTCACCTTGTGCCCAGTTCGTGCGCTTCGTATTTACCTGCAGCGTTCTGAACAGCGACGACAACATTTTCGACGGCTGTTCATACCGCTCTCAACCAATGCAAAGAAAGAGATTACACGTAATACTCTCTCATTTTGGTTGAGAGCGGAAATGCTCAGAGCTTACGAGGCGCAAGGACTCGCACCTCCCACCTCCTCTCATCCGCACGAAGTTCGAGCCTTCGCTTCAACATAAGCACTCCACAGTAATTGTTCGCTACAAGCTATTATGGAGGGCTGCTTTGGAGATCTACTTCAGTGTTTGCTTCGCATTATCTTAGAGATATCTCCACAGAAGATGTTGAAGGACTCAAACAGTTTGGTCCACTCGTGGTGGCACAACAGATCTCTCAGAAAAGACAGTGAATTTGTGTTTTATTCATTTTGGAGTTTTTGCTCGACACTTCGTGACATACTACAGGTTACAACAAAAGCTGTTGGTGAATGTACGCATTCTTATGGTTTTTTGTTGCGTGCAGTACTTCTGCTTTTTATTATGGTTATTCGGTGTATGCATCGTCTTCCCATACATTATAGTACTGCTCGTATTTTTTAGTTACTTTGTATACTGCGAGTTGCTCTGTAACTAAATTATGCGCCGACCTCACTTCGATCCGGGTTCAACTGACGTGTGCAGTTGTACTGTCACATCGATAATTAGTTGTGTGTCGAAGAGCATTACCCATGCTATTTTAGTTACCTTGTCTACAGCGAGTTCTGTAACTAAATTATACACCGACCACATTCCGATCGCAATTCAACTGATGTGTGCAGTTGTCCTGTCGCTTCGATAATTAGTTGTGAGTCGAAGAGCATTAAACATGCTGTTTTAGTTACCTTGTATACTGCGAGTTGCTCTGTAACTAAACTATTCGTCGACCACACTTCGATCGCAGTTCAACTGACGCGTGCAGTTGGCCTGTCGCATCGATAATTAGTTGTGTGTCGAAGAGCATTAACCATGCTGTGCGTTCGTGATAAACAACTTGTCTCGTCCGTGCATCTGGTCGAATGTTCTATTGTCACTACAGGGGTGAGGAACTTGGTACATTCGACGTGAAAGTGGTCACTGCCTGATTACTTTCCCGACCCTCCTTCCAGTGTTCCGTCGAATTCTACCCATTTGTACGACTGAAAACAGACTAAAACATGGGTTTTTCAGATTAAAAACGATGTTTTATTGGTCTGTTTTCAGTCGTACGTTCCCACCCAGCCATCCCCACAGGGAAGTAATCCAGTCCAGTCCTGCTTGATGGCTTTTTCTTTGAGATTTGTGACATGTCATAGGGAGGTGCGTGCGCAACCGGACGGAAACAAGTTTAATGTTTACATTCCAGCTTCTGGCTTCCTCTTAAACGTGCGACTAGACGTGAGGGTATGAGAGATACCCATTTGTACGACTGAAAACAGACCAATAAAACATCGTTTTTAATCTGAAAAACCCATACTGTTCAAAGCTGGGTTAAACCCAACTCACTCACTCTTACTGAAATTGCTGAAATACTGTTAATTGAGGCAACAAACCTCATCCACATCATCACTCCTTGTTTCAGTTACTCCAACTATCCCTTTCCCTATATTGTTGTAGCCCAATTTCTACATTTCAGAAACCTGTGTGACAAAGGATGCAAGCAGAAAGGATTCGGGATCTGAGACATTAGAGAAAGAAAGAATTCAAGAACAGAAAGGTATATAGAGGATATTTATCATCTAAAACTGGCTCCCACAGGAGATTTTGCTTGGATGAGATAAAGCAATATCTACAATGTAGATATCGCTGCAATGAAATTACATCACAATGCTTTGCAGACCATTGTGACTTCACTGGTTACCATGACATCACAATCAAATGACATCACTAATGGCTCTGCTAATGAAGCTGTTAGCAGTTCTTTTTTACACTGAAGACACTGCTAATTATTGTCTACAAATTGAAAAAGTTGGTAGAATGATGTTGGATGATAAATAAAATCTCACCCTCTTGTCTTTTGATATCAAATATATCAACACTTGTTGATAAAAGTGACAAAAATCCTCGGCAAGCCTCGGAGTTTTCCCACTTTTATCAACTTGTGTTGATATATTTGATATCAAAAGACACTCAGGTGAGATTCTCGATATCCCAGTACACGTCATGATGACAATTCCCCGAGCAGGAAGGTTCACACTTCCTGTTTTATGCTTTCTGCCTGTTGTAGTTCTCATTCCCTTCTTGCAGATTTCACTCAGCATGGTTCATGATGGCAGTAGTGTGACAATGCAGTATTGTATCGTAGTCTATACAAGGTCCACAATACAATATATAGATTTACAACCCCTGTTTCGCGATACATATGTTGCGATATGATTTGTATCCCAATACAGTACCCGTGAAGATCCAGGGTAGAATAGGTCTTCAGCAACCCATGCTTGCCGTAAAAGGCGACTATGCTTGTCGTAAGAGGCAACTAACGGGATCCGGTGGTCAGGCTCGCTGACTTGGTTGAAGCATGTCATTGATCCCCATTGCGTGGATCGATGCTCATGATGTCAATCACTTGATTGTCTGGTCCAGACTCGATTATTTACAGACCAACATCATATAGCTGGAATATTGCCGAGTACGGCGTTAAACAACAAACAACAACAACTATTATTTCATAAGTTGATATTTTTCTCCCAGCAGTTGAATCACAACCGTGAATCGTTATCATACTACTTTGAATTTCAGACAACGAAGATGGGATATTGTAGGGCAGCAATATATAAGCTGGGGGGAACTGTGACTGTTATGCTATTTATAGCAAACAGGGAAATACTAGAGAATCAGCGTCAGCTGGTTGTTGAACAGATTCGTTTTGCCTTATCAAACCTGTTAATATTCACAAGTTTTTACATCAATATAACTTGTAATGTAATGTATCATGAAACAGGGGTTTATTAATCGATGTATTGTATTGTGGCCCTTGTATATTGTATTGTCACGTCGTTACACTATCGCCATATTAGAGGACTGCCTGTGTGGTCTGATGGTAGAGCTTCTACCGGAGAGTTCAGGGTCCGGGGTTCAATCCCCGGCTGTGTCATACCAAAAGGGGGCAGTCGGGTAGCCTAGTGGTTAAAGCGTTCACTCGTCACGCTGAAAACCCGGCTTCGATTCCCGACATGGGTACCATTTCTGGTGTCAGCCGCCGTGATATTGCTAAAAGTGGCATAAAATCAAACTCTCTCACTCACACTGAAAGGCATTAAAAGATGGTACTTGTTGTTACCCTGTCTGGCATTCAGCTTTAAGGGGCTAAAACGAGGATTGGTCGGCTCATTGTCAGTATACAGTGTCTGAGAGGGGTATTCATGTTGAACTGTGGCATGGTATCTCAGTACGCTAGCAATATCAGATCGGCATCCGTCCGGACTAGTACAAGCAGTCACACATACTCACACATGTGAATGCACATTGCTGAATAAGTGCAATTATCTTGAACGTGATGTTAAACCCAATTTCACCTTACTTCACCTTTATAAGAACGCCTTAAACCGTGAAACATCAACTATAAATGTTTGTTACCATGGTTACAGAGGAGGGTGAGCTGTCAGACGTGGAGCTTGAGACAACGGAAGACAAAGTGGAGCGACACCTGCTGGAGAAACTAGGTATCGTCACTATCGTGTGTCCAATACAATATATCAAGTTCGTTGTTGATTCTTCTTGTTCTGATGATTGAAGTTCATACTTGTACCTGGTGTATACGGCCCGTGAAGATCCAGGGTAGAATAGGTCTTCAGCAACCCATACTTGCCGTAAAAGGCGACTATGCTTGTCGTAAGCAGCGACTAACAGGATCGGGCGGTCAGGCTCGCTGACTTGGTTGATGCATGCCATCGTTGCGTGGACCGATGCTCATGATATCAATCACTGGATTGTCTGGTCCAGACTCGATTATTTACAGACTGCCATCATATAGCTGGAATAGTGCTGGGTGCGGCATTAAACAAGAAACCAACCTGGTGTATACACTACGTTCCTCCATCTCCCGTGAAGACATACCAATGATTTGCAAAGTAGTAGCTATGTCTAATCAGACTCAAGACGTGGTCTCAAGAGGGCTACCAGTGCTCAGATTACATGGCACAAACTGCAATATTGCTCCTGCAGCCCTGAGGCCATGTACTTTATATATTGCTTCAATATGAGGCGATTTTACGTTCACAGCTGTATATATTCACTAGGTAGGCACAATTTTATCGATAACAACTTCTTTAATTCTGTGAAAAGCCACGTTTCGGTATAGATCCTTATACCGTTGTCAAGCAAGACTGAATGTGGGACATTGTACAGAATATAAAGAGTAGATGGAGGATTGCATACATGAGTGGGATAACATTGGTAGGTGTTGACAACAAAGGGATAATGCTGTCACAACACAATGGACAGAGGTGGAAACCAACATGGACATGATGCCAATAAACAGGATAAGTGATTATTGCTTAATCTATCATCGCCCTCACCACCGCCTGTATCTCCTCTACCTACTTCACCTGGGGCGACGAGTACTATCAACAGATACACGGCCTACCCATGGGATACCCACTCTCTCCTATCCTTACTGAAATCTACATGACCTACTTCAAACAGCAAGCCCTCACAACATGCACAACATCACCGATCCAACCTATTTGCTGGTACAGTATTTGCTATACCGAAACGTCGCTTTTCACCGTGTTCACAGTATTAAAGAAGTTGTTATCCATAAAATTGTGTCTACCTAGTGAATACATACAGCTGTGAACGTAAAATCTCCTCATATTGAAGCAATGTATAGAGTCACTCACTCACTCACTCACTCACTCACTCACTCACTCACTCACTCACTCACTGAAATAATATAAGACTCGCATTAAACCGTCTTCCCCTTCCTGTTATCAGTGAATTCCAGGTTACCTCTACAAAACTATTCAACCAGTTACTGCATGAATTGGGAGATGTACTTGTCATATTTAGGAATTCCTAATGACATTTGCTGCAGATTTGGGGCCGAATGTCAGCCTCTGAAAAGGTGTAGATAACTCTCTGCGACCTTTTTTTCAATGAATTTTGTATTTTATTTGGAAAGTATGTAAGGGTTATCATTTTTGCCCCCAAACTGACTGTTAAGAATTATAGCTTTTTTGTGAAAGTGGTTTTGGAATTACCATGGTGTTTTTTATCTTCTGTGCAGAAGAGTCTGGGGAACTGAAGACGCTCCTACAGAACCCCCATTTACGTGTGATGATGTCGGCACTGGTGGGCGCTGACAATCCTGGCAAACTCATGGAGGACGCCATGAAGGAACCGATTTTCACCGAATTCGCTGACGAGTGTCTGAAGGTTGTGGAGCCAGAGCAGACATGATAGTTGCTATGGAAACTGACTGGATATGTTATGACAACCAAACAGATGTTGAGAAATGTAAAAGACGTATAAACCATTTCTACAATCTGTAGAATGCAATGGTGACATCTACAGTGACAATTGCAGTCTAGGATGTATATGTGAGATGTTGTCATCATCTGTTGATGGGATGGCTGTCAATGATCTGTAGATGATCTGTTGGTCTGTTGATGATCTGTTGGTCTGTTGATGATCTACTAATAGCTGTTAGTGTTAATGATCTGTTGATGGCTGTTGATGATCTGTTGGTCTGTTGATGATCTACTAATGGCTGTTAGTGTTAATGATCTGCTGATGGCTGTTGATGATCTGTTGGTCTGTTGATGATCTGTAGATGATCTGTTGGTCTGTTGATGATCTACTGATGGCTTTTGATGATGATGTTGATGGTCTGTGGGCTGATGAAGTCGACACACAAGTGACACTGTAAGGCTTCCAGTGGAGTCGAGCAGGACCAGTACATCATGCCACTGAATCACTGACAAGGCATTTGTGGACATTGATAGTACTACATAGCAAACCTGGATTACCAAGATGAACAAGACTGTGAAGAGGTGGTGGGGCACGAGGACAATTGCATCCTCTACCTGCACCGAGACACAGACACAGACACACGATACACAGGTTTCACAACCTTATTAGAGTGGGGAGGGTGGTCGGGTAGCAATAAACTCACTCACTCTCTCTTTTTTTATTCATAAATCAAGCATGGTTGAGAACAATCTCACTATAATCATTTTGTGTAGCTGTATCGAGCACCAATATTTGATTTTAATGAGATTGAATTGAGAGCTTTCAAGAGGACGTTATGCTTGTCGTAAGAGGCGACTAACAGGATCAGGTGGTCAGACTCGCTGACTTGGTTGATGCATGTTATCGAAGTTCATTTGAGCGGATCAATGCTCATGATATCAATCACTGGATTGTCTGGTCCAGACTTTATTTTTTTACAGATTGCCGTCATATAGCTGGAATATTGCTGAGTGCAGCGATAAACAACAAACAAACAACATCTTAGAGGAGAAAAGTCCAGTTCCTTTGCCTGTGAATATATGCATTGTGCAAGAAAGAGGTTGTTTTATTTCATTTTATACCATTTCAAGTGAAGAAATTAAAAATAATGCTTGAATAATGTTTCATGGTTTTGTTGAAAGCCATTTTCACCTTATAAAGAAAGTTTTACCAGCTTTCTTGTGTATTTATATATTGGTTATTATCACAGTTTGATAGATTGTTGTTTCAATTCAGATTGCATAATTCCTGCATTAAATAATTTTTCATGTAAACCTGTTTCCTTGTTTGCTTGACACTGATATCAGGTGGAATATTGCTGACTGCTATTGTAGACATCATTCACACACTCACTTGATAGTCAGGACCCCTAACTTGGTTGATTGCGTGTCATTATACCAGTGAGTGAGTTGTTTTTCACCGCTTTTGGCAATATTCCAGCAATATCACGGCAGGGGACACCAGAAATGGGCTTCACACATTGTACACATGTCAGGAATCGAACCCGGGTCTTCGGTGTGATGAGCGAACACTTTAACCACTAGGCCACCCGACCGTCCCTTCATTATACCGGACGACATGGGAAGTTGCTCATGACATCAGTCACTGTTTATCAGGTCAAGGCTCATTTATTAACAGGCTGCCATCATATAGCTGGATTCTTGCTGTAAAAGGCGACTATGCTTGTCGTAAAAGGCGACTATGCTTGTGTAAAAGGCGACTAACCGGATCGGGTGGTCAGGCTCGCTGACTTGGTTGATGCATGTCATCGATCCCATTTGCGTGGATCGATGCTCATGATATCAATCACTGGATTGTGTGGTCCAGACTCGATTCTTTACAGACTGCCGTCATATAGCTGGAATATTACTGAGTGCGTGTTAAACAACAAACCAACCAACCAATCATATAGCTGGAATATTAATTTAACAATAAAACAGACAATTCCGTGACTCAGTTCCCCATTTGTTACTGTGTGGATGATTGGAATCGGTACTCACGCTGTCCGTCACTTGTCTAGTCCAGACGGAAATAGTGTTAACTGCGGCATTGGACATCCACTCACATTGTCATAACCCCTCTCCAAGCAAGACAACAACAACAACAAAGGTTTATTTCTCTTCAAGGTCATAGCTATGACATATTGAAGGTACAAATGGAGATTTATGGTGACACAAGGCATGAGACAGACGTGCGTCAACTATACGTTTAACTGCAACAGACTCATGAATTTAATCAAACATCTTGAGGATTTCTTTTACAAACTGTGCTAGTTTTCTTTGTTCTATTAGACTTTCAGTATTTAGTAGCATATCAAGTGTTATCGTACTAGGTCTTGTAAAGTACTTCTTTTGAATATATAACTTCCGCAAGTTATGCAGAAAAGGACATATTAGTAGATAGTGATATTCGTCAGCTAAGTCATGTTTATTACAGTGACTACAAATTCTGTCTTCCCGCGGTATATTTTCCCATCGCCCCTTTTCTATTGGTAATCTATGGTTTGTGGACCTAAATTAAGTAATCGGGATACTGAGTCTTAAGGGTAGCGACAGCAGATGATTTTCTAACTGGATTCTATGTTTAAATATTCGGTAAAATACTGCCTTGTGAGAGTTGTTTATCCAACTTGTCCAAGTCTGGCTAAACTGATCAAAGATACGTTGTTTAATAACACATTTTAATATGTTTATATTTGGCATGAATTGTTGGGTCCTTATAAACTAAGGTCTTATCCATCAAATAGTCCTTTAACATATTCGAGCCAGCTGTATTTAAGGTCGCAGGAGTCTGCAAAAAATACATTTTACATAACAGTACACAATTTCGTTGGTTTATTATATATTATCTTAGACCAGTATGTCAACATTCTTTGTTTAATTAAATCCGTAATAGACGCAAGTCCACCAGATTTAGCTTTAGTTGACTGTTTTCTATTATTGTAATGCACACTATATCCAGGTAAGTCTAGTAAATCATAATTGTCAAGTTTTGTCTAACAAACACCAATGGTAACTATGGATCATTTGAACAAATTCGGGGTAATTTAATTTTGGTAACAGGCCACCAACATTTATATAGCACAGTATTTCAGGGTGTCGGTTATGTCGACATTGTTATTACGTAAGTTTCCCGACTTTTCATGGCCCGGTTGCAATTTACATCCCTATAAATGTTTGTGACTGGTCCGTGCTTCACGAGGTTGGGTGGATGGGAGCACGCGCTCATTGTTTACAAACAATCTGTCACGTGCGAGATACACTCTATTGTTTTTTTTCTTTGGCCTTACGGTAGAGTGGCATAAGCTGTCGACGAACCTCTAGTACTTCTGGCGGGTATTGGTCGTTGATACCATACATTGTGCCTTTGAGGGCCTTTGCAGAGTCTTTGACAAGGTATTTGTCGTTGCGATACAAGAATGAGGCAATAATCGTATTTTCCCCGGTATGCCAGGTTTACCTATGCGATGCACAGTCTTAAACTGAATGTCCTTACGCACGTGTAAATGTGGTCCAATGGAGGAGGTCAACACCTGTTCTGTGTCTTCATCTTTTTCTTCTATTAAGCAACTTCATTAAAATTAGATCTTAAACCCCAATTAACGGAGAGGGGTATTTAATCAGAGTAAAATATTGAGCAGGAAATTTAAAGCTTTATGTGTCAGTGGAGATTGCTGCCAGTTTATTTGTAGTGATTGTGAATGGCAGCAATTTGCCAGCAAATGAATGGAACACTCATAAAATGATTTAACAGGAAGTATGATTAGAGTTACCTCCTCTGTTTGCAAATATAACAGCCTTGATCGTTGGCAATCTCATTAAAATCAGATCTTAGTTCTCGCTCCCGCTAAACAAAGATCTGAGGACACCCCATTACGGGTCACGTCGGACCGACCTTGCGCGAACTTTGACCGACCAATGGAATGACTGACAAGAAGTCGACATTAGCCAATCAGAAGGCAGCTTTCTCGTGCTTTACGGCACTAATTTCAAATTTGCGACTACGCTTCGAAACATATTTTGACAAATTCTCGATTACAAATTTGAAACCTGAACAAAAGAACATTCTGGAATGGCTAATAGATGGTCGAGATTGTATGGATTCAGTCGTTGAACCAGTAACCATTGTTCGGAATACGTCGTGTTGAAGTTTTTGAGGTTGCATGATTAGAAATCACATTCCAACTGTCACGTTCATGATCTGGTAAGCGACGTTCTGATTGGTCGGATGTAAGGTCGTTCTGACGTGAACCATAATGGTATATCCTCAGATCTTTGTTTAGCGGTAGCAAGAACTAAGATCTGATTTTAATGAGATTGGATCGTTGGGAAACTTTTGGGATGGGACAGTTTCTGGCTGACTGTACCTATGTACATGATGGCGATTCGAGGCATTCGACGACCTGACTTGTGTCTTATCCATTGCCAAGTCATTATGCTGCAGTGAGAACCGAGATTCGTCAGAAAAAAGAACTGCTGACCACTGTTGTCTTGTCCACTGTCGGTGTTGCCGTGCCCATGCGTCTCTGGCTGCTCTGTGACGCGGAAGAAGAGGTCTAACGGCTTGACGTCGGGGCCTGATGTTTGTTTCCCTCATACGGTTTCTTATGGTTTGGTCACTGACAATAATTTTGTTCCTGTAGCAGCCCTCTGTTGCCTTCGAAGATGGTTTGCTGTGACTGTTCTCCTCCTCAATGCTTCAACAACGACGTACCGGTCTTCACTTCCTGTTGTCACACGAGGGCGTCCTGACCTTGGTCTATCACGTACTGTCTGTGTTTGTTGGAATCGCTGACGTAATCTGCAAATGACGGATGGACTAACATTTAACCTTCGAGCAGCTTCCCGCTGTGAAATATTCTCATTTAGACACCCAATAGCTCTGGCTCGTTCTTCACTCGTGAGGTGTCGAGGTTGTGGCATGTTGAACACAGTGATGCAGTTTCATAGCGACCTGCCTTTATCAACCCAAATTTCGCACAAAAACTTCTTGTGGCTCCTGCTTCATGAGAATAAATGAGCAAATGCACGATCTCCATTTTTACGGCAGCTTTGAGGAGGAGATTACAACAAATCTGGTCATGAAGTCACTTGAGCAAGGGTAGTCTTCATTATCAGTACGTTAGCTGCCGATCAGGAGGCCATTTACCAAATTTAAAAGGAATCAATGAACAGTGCTACAAAATATCAGTGTTCCCTAAATTGTTTTGACGAGCATACATATGTTTTTTATCTGTTTCATTTTTGACAAGTCTTCATATCTAGATAAACATATGCCATAGAATGGTTAACGTTCATTGAGAAAATGTCCTAAATCATAGCTACTAACACCAAGGTTGATCCTTCTTTCCGTATTTTGGCTAGGCACCTCCCTATCATACAAAAGGGGAAACGCGTATGCTTGTTTCCCTGTCCATGGGACTGAGAAGGCGTCGATCTGACATGAGTGAGAATCCGGCCTCCAACTGACATACTTGTCTACCTGGAGATTTAGCCTGTCTGGAAACAGGTCGACTTGGAATGGGCCCCACAGCTGATTTATCTGGTGCAATATGGACTTCTTTAGCATCCAACTGCTGTCGTCTTTGCATTTCCTGGATATCCCATCGATCCCAATTGCGTGGATCAATGCTCATGATATCAATCACTGGATTATCTGGTCCAGACTTGATTATTTACAGAGAGCCGTCAAAAAGCTGGAATATTGCTGAGTGCGGCGTAAAACAACAAACCAATCCTGGATTCACAATCCGCCTGGGTATTGTCTTTCCCTGGGAGGTATTCAGTCTCTTCATGCAGAATTCCCATATCTGTTGAGCTAGATTGACTAGTGATACTGATTTCGTCCCGCCTTTCTTGTTGATATATGCGACAACTGTTTTGTTGTACATTCGAATATGGACCTGTATTTGTGTCTTGTCTTTGGTAAATGTCTTTAGGGCTAGTAGTCCCGCTTTGAGTTCCAGAACGTTGCTATGGTTTTTCTGTTCTGACAGGCTGCATTGTCCTCTTGTGCTCTACTTTTGACAAACTGCTCCCCAAACTAATAGTGACGAGTCGGTTGTGATCGTGAGGTTAGGGCTCAGGTTGATGAACGACTTCCCGTTCCATAATGACATTTTTATGGTGAGAGGTTCGGGTAAACAGTTGTGAGATTTGTTTATCATCTTTAGCTTCTGACATGAGGTCATCCAGTACAATCATATTGACGTTATTCAGAGCATTCAAATAGTTTTCATCTTGTAGGTTGTAAGGAATCCCTTTGACAAACTTGACATAGGGCATG